CAAATATTAATGACCTAATAGAATAACTAGTTTGAGCATTTCACTCATTCCGTCCAGAGATGCCAGACTTCCAGGGTTTAAGGGACAGCATACAATGAAACACGAAACACTGGTGCAAAGGGGCTCTCAGTCATCTATGCCAGGCAGTTTCTATAAGGATCTAACTTTGCACCTGTTCAGATGACCCCCAAGAAGTTGTAGAACTGATTCTGGGTCAGGGAGGGGAAGTACTTGTCTACCATCAAGGAGCCTGGGAGGTTTACAACAGTGTTGTAAACCTCCCAGACAGCTTCAGCTTCAGGACGATATAGAATTGAAATAAATCTTCTTTGTCATAGTCTTCTTCTTCTCCTTCTCCATCATCATCATCATCATCATCATCATCACAATCATCTTCATTTCTATACCACCCGATAGCAAAGAGTTTTGCACACCCATTTCCCAAAGACTTACCCCCCAAATGCAATAAACTACATTTTTTCTAATATATAAAATTTGAAAAAGACATCTAAAATATTTTCAGTACAAACTAAACCTGCTCAAAACTGATGTCCCATTGTGAGGTTAAACACCTCTACATACCATTAAGGGGAAATCCTATGCCCCACAGCCTTAATGCATACAACCCTCCAAACTCAGGCTTACATGCATCATATGCTTGTAATAAGGTACAGCAATGATTTTGGAACCAGACAGTAGCTCTAGAAAGCTGTTTTTTCTGGGGAAGAAAGGAAGGAATTGGCCTAAGTCCACAGTCCCAGCCTCCTCCCATCCCCACTCCACAGCACTCCTCATTAATCCCAAGCTTGGTTGCAACCTCAGGGGGGGAAGCAGATGGTGCGGTTCTTTGTGGCCCAGCTGCAAGGTGGGCAGAGGCTCAGACTTCGGAGTCACAGCTCTGACATTGAAAAATGTTGAGAGGCCGTAAGATTGCACCCTAATTTATGTATTTATTCAGTTATTAGATTTCTAACCTGCCCCACTAGCCACACAGCTCCCTGGGTGGGTTGCAAGTAACACTTCCTTGCAACTCCACAGCCCCAGTCCAATTCAGGAATCCACACAGCTCTTCTCAGTATGAAGAAAAAATGCTGAAAGTTTCCCAGATCAATTCTAGTTTGATTGGTAGTCTTCTATATACCAGCCCATTTCCATAACGGAAAATAGTAAAGGGACAGACTGAAAGCAACATCTGGGGAAATACCAGCTGCGTATCAAGGCATGTCCTTTCATTTTGCTTTTCTGTTAATGTTATTCTGCACATGAGGCCGTTCTTTTTGCAAGGAAGTTAGAGAAATGCATTGGAGTAACAAAAAGAACAAAGCTGCTATAACATATCTGGAGATTTTGATTCATGGTTGTTTATTTATTCAATTTCTATCCCACCTGCTTTTTTAAAAAGAACTTAAAGCTTTTTATATCATTCTCCTCCTCCTGTACTCAATCTTATCCTCACAACAGCCACTCTGTTAGTAGACTGGGGCTGAGAGTCTGTGACTGACCCGAGGTCACCCTCTTGACTCCATGATTGAGCAGGGACGAGAATTCAGGTCACCTGAGTCTCAGAGCCGTGCTCTTAACTGCTACACCACACTGGCTCTCTTCTTTTCCCTCCTTTTGGCAGTTGTGTATGTGGGGGAATAAGTTCAATGCAGGCTAATATGAATTCAAATTTAGTCTGTTACTGATTATGTAGGTGCTATGGTGCTTTCAGAACTTTTGTAAGCCGCCCCGAGGCTCTTAGCGAATGGGGCGGCATAGAAATGTTTTAAATAAATAATAAATATATTTGCTTTTATAAAACAATGTATTTTACCTTGAATACTTAAAAAGAAACATTTGTTTCTTTTTATTATATTATATATATAGTACATATAATTCTAAAGTGGAAATAATGGCAGCAACAGCCCATGGTACAAAATATATAGCTATTACCATAGTTTTCAGTGCATGCTATATTTTGTGAGACTATATAAATGAAGGTTCCATACTGCCATCTACTGGTAGTCACTGGAATTGTGCTATCAGGCACATATAATAGCTCTTTTTGCAGATAGAAAGAAATCAGGAATATTTGACTCAAGCTAAGTTTGCTAACATGGTTTCTATGCTTGGAATCCAAGAGTTATGTTTTTCCAAAAGGCTGTGATCCCTGCTTTCTTTTTTTCAATGATGTTATCCACTTAAGTCTTCTAATTTGCCCCACTTTTGGTGTTTGCAGCCAAGAATAAGGAATCAGGACCTGTATATTTTTTTAAACAGCTGTGCAGCCAGATGGCATTGTTAGCTTACAAATTAAATGGAAGCCTCTACAATTGCTTAGGTGTGCAAAAGTCCTACTTCCTGGAAAAGATGTTTACAACTAACATGCAGGATGTTTTTTAATCCCATTAAACCAGGACACTCCATGTATTAAATTGAAACCTCAAGAATTTTCAGACACTCCAGTTAACCACTTGGGTATATAACTATTGTGGGATCACACTGATGTCATATATCTCAGGACTCTAAAACCTTTGTATCCACAGTGGTAAAGCATAATCAAAGAGGGCTTGTGTTTCTTTGCTGGGCCAGTATGAGGAGTAGTTGGTGGTAACTGCACTTCCACCCACGTTGTGCCACAGCATTTTCTTCTTATTGGTTCGTGGTGATTTGAAAAATTGGTTGAGTGTCACATGAGTGAAGGTAACTGAGGTGGAGTTGGCAGTGATATCAGGGCAACAAATCATCTGGACACAAAGTCCTCTGTTTCCTTTGAAACAACTGAGCATGCTCAGTTCCTACTGAGCTATTTTAGGAGGATTCAACTTTTCTGGGTTTTTCTTTTGATTAGATACTTTATTTCTGCAAACATTGGGGGTTCTTCAAGTATACTAATACCTCTTACGTGTATGTGTTGTATTGTTTTAACTATATCAGCAATGAGAGTCATTTTTGAACATGTGAAATAGAAGGAATGATTTCCAACTTGATACAAAACAAACATATCTGTATTTTTGTATGCATTCTTGCTCTTATACAAGGACTGATGCTTTGACATAACTTGTATGTCAGTACATAACTTACAGAAACCTTTCCATGTCACCCCAAATCAATCAGTTTAGGTTAATCTTATGTAACACTTCGCAAAAGGAAAAGGAAAGGAAAGAGAATAAAAGTAGATATATATATTTTATTCTACTTTTATTCTATAAAAGTAGAATAAAAGTAGATATAGGGAATGCATAAAAGACAATGCCTCTGAGAGACCTGGGGCTTGTGGTTATTGTAAAGGCCAATAATCTCAACATGGAGTTATTCATATGCTACAAAACAGGAGAATAACTTTTATACCTACAGTTTTAATATATAAGCTATTTGCAGCTAAAGCTACCATCTTCAAAACTGCTGGCTTCCCTTGAATAGACTTAACCAGAAACTGGAGGAAGGCAGGTTCTTAGGGATTCTTAGTTTATCCTTGCATACTTTCTGAACATTTATTTTTTCATGGGATGAAATGCTGAGCCAACTCCTCTTATTTATTTATTCATTCTAACCAGAGATTTCTCTTACCCTTAGGCCAGCTTGCTATACTGTCATAGCATACAATAAAAACACAATTACATTGAAATCCTCTTCATATCTACCCAGAAGTAAGGTACATAGATGTAAGATAAAATGCAACAATAACACCACAGTACGAATACAACATAAGTAGACCCACTTGCCCCATATTAAACATCTTTGCACAATTGCTGGAATGGATGAGACTTTGTGCTGAAAGTTCTTGAATATCCAGAAACCTGTGGGTTATACTTTTACACTGTGAGATGTAACATATCAATTTATCATATAGTATATAACATGATCCTCCTAGTGAGGATCATGATCCTCCTATAGTATAGAGGTAAAGGTAAAGGTTTCCCCTTGACGTAATGTCCTGTCATGCCTGACTCTAGGGGGCAGTGCTCATCTCCATTTCCTAGCCGAGGGAGCCAGTGTTTGTCCACAGACAGTTTCCATGGTCATGTGGCCAGCATGACTAAACGCCGAAGTGCACAGAACGCTGTTACCTGCCCACCAAAGCGGTACCTTTTTATCTACTTGCATTTGCATGCTTTCGAACTGCAAGGTTGGCAGGAGCTGGGACAGAGCAACAAGAACTCACCCAGTTGTGCAGATTCGAACTGGCGACCTTTCAATCAACCAGCCCAGCAGCACAGCGGTTTAAACCACTGTGCCACCTGCAGTACCTTCCTATGGTATAGTTATATACTATATGATATCAATTTATCATATAGTATATAACACAATCCTTCTAGTGATTTGGTTGACAACTCCCATTATCGTTCTCTAGCATTGCCTTGCCTATGCTGAGGGATCACAGGAGTTGTACATCAAAAGATCTGGAGGGACACAATTTGCCCACCCTGCCTACATGCTGAACTAAGTGTTTTCGTCTACTGGCACTAGCAGTCCCAAACTCTTCTGATCTCTCAAATTCCATTCGGTTTTTGAGGTTTGAATTCTTATATTTATTCCCCTGATGAACAAGCATCTACAATAGGCAGTGTCTACTGTATTACAGCAGTTAAGCATCACTCTGTGCACCACAAGGACATGCAATTCAGCTGAAAGTAATAAAAGAAAATCTAGTATTCAAGAATGAACCAACACAGGTATAGTTTATTGTTCCTGTAGTTCTAGTACAAGTAGAAACCATGTAGATATTTTCTATAATATACTCAAGTGATTAAGGTAGATTGTAAGTAATTAAAACATATATCCTGCTTGGTTTTTATGGGGCTGCATAAAAATAGTTCAAAACAATGCTTGTGTTCATTTGGTTTAATATTCCTTAGTCAGTTATGTTATAATTCACATACGATCAAAAATGGTGACAACAAATACAGGACACTGGTGTAAACTACCTGCAGCAGCAAAATACAAAGACTTTTCATAACAAACTAGAAAAGCCCCTATAACCTAAGTCATCGTATTATTATGCACTGAAATACTTTTTATCCAGTGCTAATAAGTTCTTGGAGACTGATGGCTTTCTTGTAATCAGCAATAGCTTCTTTAATTAAGCCCAGTTTGCCACGAATATCAGCTCTTAGCTTATACATCAGGGCATCATAAGGTTGAATTGACAGGGCTGTAAGAAATAGTATTTTTATTAGGCATCTTTTCAGAGTAAATAATAACTATATACTAAAAACTTACCCAAAGGTTTGGGAAGAATTTGGAGGTAATTACTCAAACATTATTTGTATTATATCAAGTTTGGCCTGACTCATAGCTTCAGGACATTAAATAGCACAGTAAGATCATAACCCCAGTTACTAGAAACTGAAATAAGAGGTCTTGCATTGTTATGTGAATAGCCTCTTGGTTGTGATAGGAGCAGGATAATCTGTAATATGCTTTTGAAACCAATTCAGTAGGGAAATAATAAATCACACTGGCTCCAGTTCAAAGATCTTTGCATATAACATCTATTTGCTACACAGAAGTCTCTCCCCCCATTGAACTATTGAGCAGTGTTGATGACCTATTTGCAAGCAGGTTAAAGAGGCCACTTACATTAGAAATACTCGCTGACATTCATTTGCCCACCTGCCAATAGTGTTTTGATATTTCAGAGCTGACCAGCTATGCATGCTTGAAACACTGCGCATGCACACTTACATGTTGCATGACTTCACAGTCCCCACCCAATGCAGCACCCCTGTGTCTCCACAGACTGCCCTTCGGGTTTATACTATTAGCAAATCTATTTCAGGGTTTGCTGTGCCTATAGAAATAGAGCCAAGTAGGTAAGTGACAGTATGTATATTGAACTTCAAGTCTAGTACCTTTTGAAATGTCCTCCTCAGCTTGCTCATATTGCTGTAATGTGCTGTAGAGGTTTGCCTTGTTAAAATATATTGCTGCAGAGAATGGAGAAAGGCAAACTGCTTTCTCAAAATCTTCTTTTGCATCTTCAAAATTTTTTAACAGTGTATTTGTAATAGCTCGATTCAGGAATGCAGATTCATTTTTTGGATCAAGTCTCAGTGCCTGGGAATAATACTTATTTGCCTATAAGATTAATGGAATGAAATGTATACAGTTTTAAAGTTACTAATTTCCTTTTTAAAACACCTAGTAACTTGGGAGATACATGAACAATGACAATGTCTGATCTCCAAGAGTATTACTACAGTAAGCAAATTATTTCAAAAGAAGAGTTGGTTCTTTTCCAGAAGTATAAACTACTGACTGGGAACTTTTCTACTGAAGGCTGTAAATCACTGTATCTACTTTCAGTTTTGTCCTAGAACTGAAATCCGAGCTCACACAGAGTTTTTCCTTTCCTGCTATACAACCTCTAGGTGGAGCTGTGCTATAGCAGAATAGCACAAAAATACACAAGAAACAGCACTTTTAGAAATAAAACTCAGAAATTTTTCAGAAATTTTCACCATTCCAAAATAACTTTATAACTTTAAAATAACTTTAAATAATTCTAGAAATGTGCTCTGAAAAAAACAAAAGGATCACAGTGCTGTCTAAAGCATCTGTAAACAACCCCAGAAGTGCATGTAGAAAATGTTCTCACTCACTCATTTCCTGAGAATTCAGATACATGTAATTCCCAAGCAATTGCATTCCTGTTTATGCTCTGTTGTTCTGGGTTTTTCCCCCAAGTGTTGATTAAATGCACTTTTTTGCAATTCCATTTTGATTCTAGAACAGTCATTAGTTGTGAACTGACTGTAGTGCTAGCGTCTCACCGGGAACAATGGAACAGTTTTCAACATTGCCCATAATTGCTTGTTCCATCTCTCTAGTTCCAAGCAGTACACTCTACCCTGTCATTGCTCTAACTAAAAATGGAGAGAAAAGCAGTGGTGAAAATGGCAAAAGTTTTCCTCCTCAGCTATAAACATATCTAAATTTCCAGAAAAATGTACACTGTGGGATGGGGGAAGTTTATCATTTCCATTTGAAGCTTTTAAAGTTATAAACAATGTTGTGTTTGAATACAGCTGAACAGAAAAGGACTTTGAAAAAGCAAACGGAAGCAATGATAGTGGCTCATGGAGCAAACTGCTTTTCTCTCCAAAGGGCTGGCATTGGAGAGTGGTGTAATGACTAGGTAATATACAATTGCCACTGAATAGGGTCAACCTTAATATAAATGTTCTCTCTCAGTATCATATATTATCTACAAATACAGATGTGTTTGGTTACTAAGTTACAGGATGATCCAGGAGTTATTTAATTCATATTGAATTTATAATAAGAACAGTACAGGGCTGCAATTTTTATTTGTATGTATGTTATCTGCCGTCAAGTCATCTCTGACTTATGATGACCCTATGAATGATAGCCCTCCAAAATGTACTGTCCAAGTTCAAGGTTGTGGCTTCCTTTACAGAGTCAATCCATCTCATATTTGGTCTTTCCTTTCGTCTTCTGTCTTCAACTTTCCCTAAAATGATTGTCTTTTCCAGTGTGTCTTGCCTTCTCATGATTTGTCCAAAGTATGACAGCCTCGGTGTTGTCATTTTTGCTTCTAGGGAAGGCTCTGGCTTGATTTGATCAAGGATCCACTTTTTTGTCTTTCTGTCAGTCCAGGGTATATGCAAAGCTCTCCTCCAGCACCATGTTTTGAATGCATTAATTTTCTTCCTGTCAACTTTCTTCACTGTCCAGCTTTCATACCCAGATAATATGAAAATAGTTATTCTCCAACCACTCAAACCCTCTCCGTCCAGTCTTTCTCATCTAACAATAGAAAATGCTTGCATTTTCCCCAGACTGTCTTCCATCAGATACACAGGAGTGGTGGCTCTATTACTCATCACAAACTTCCTCATTCTCTCTCTAGCACTGCAACACTTACTTCTTTCCTTGCAATTGCTGCTTCCTGAGTAACTTTCTATGCACGGTAGTAGGGAATATATCAATGCTACAATACTAATTCTTTTGTGTTAATTTTAATAGAAAACTACTGTGGCTCTTACACTGATTTTCTTTCCTGAAATGGCTTCCACTTGAAAATGTCCTCACTGCCCTCTACCCAAAGACTTGTACAGAGAGATCTTTCTGTGCATCCTAGAAGAGTAACACTTACCTTTAAGCATCAAGATTAACACATCTTATTAAAGAATGTGGTCTGTGTTTTTAGAATAGCAAATGAGCCTAGTTGAAATCATAGTTACATCCAAAGAAAAATTTTCAATAAATACTTTGTGAGCATAGAATCAAATACAGACCTGAGAAAATTGCCTGTTTAACAGGTAGATATTTGCTGCATTGAAATATGCCAAAGCATAGTTGGGATCAATGGTAATAGCCTGCTGATAGTCTTTCATGGCACAATTTAAAAATCCCATAAACTGGTTAATGACACCTCGATTTGTAAGCAATTCTGCATTGGTAGTTATCTGAAATATAGTAATAGAAATACATTTACAAGAACAAAATGCATAAAGAAAATACTGATAGAAGCAAAATGTATATCAGGATAGCAACAATAGCTTAAATATTTACCTTCAGAGCAGCATTTGTATCTTGAAAGGCAGCAAAATTATCACCCATCTGAAGACAGACTATAGCTCTCCCATCATAAGCTAAATGACATTTTGGATCAATCAGAATGGCTACTGTAAACTGGGTCCAAGCTTTCTGAAACTTTGCAAGAGCCTAAAATAATTAAGCATACTCATTAATGAGATGAGATATAGGTTTCCTTCCTTCTGTAAAGATTTGCACAGAGAAAAGGTGTTGAACTCAAGGATCGTTGGCCAAATCTAGCTCTCCAGAATTATTCAGATGGTCATCCTCCTTTTCACAGAATCCACTTCCTTTCCCCCACCACTGAGATTGTTGCACTGTCTATTCTCATTAAAGTATTAAAATGTCTCTCCTAAAGTTTAGTTGCTGACAGTAAATTCTTAAAGCTAAAATATACTAGTCATTTTGGCCATATGGCTTTTACCTCTGACCCCACTCGCTTTTGCCTTCAGCAACCCACCACCACTAGAATGTATCTCTTGAGTACCACCCCAAAATTGAATTTGTCTCTCAAGAGGAAAGAGATGTAACAGCCCTGTAACTAGCTACAAGGAAAACAACATGGAAACTATTATTTTCTAATGAGGTGTTCCAGAAATCATCCTAAACTTTTGCCAAGAGATTATTCTAGGTATGCTTAAAACATCATGAATTGACATTCAAATGCCTGATATCCATATCTGAGCCTGCAGATATCTGTGTTTATGGGTAAAAATAGCCAAATCCAGCATTCTTCTGCAATCCTAAATTTACACAATAGAAAAACAATCTGATGATGTGCCCTTGACAACATTTCCTAAAATGACAGAAGAAAGGATTATTGAGAAGGAAATATGAGTCCAAAGAAGACAAGAGGATGAGTTAATGCCAACAAACCTTGAGCTAACTGGGACATGATTTTGCTATATTCATATTTTAGTGAAATAAAATACACCAACAGAAAAAATAGAAACATTCACAGAATTATCTGCAAGAGAGTAGGTCAAGGTGAAACCTACACAATACATGTCTATGCATATAAAACCCCTAGTAACTTTAATGAAGTTTACTTCCATAGTCTAAATGGAGATCATAGTCTAAATTATTCCAATCACTCTCTTTTCTCCCACTCTTAACTGACCATTCTCCAGAGTGAGAGATTCCTACCCAATCTAATCCTTACAACTTTTACAGATGTTCCCCAGCAACATTGGTAAAGAATGGAAAGGGGTGTCAATCTTTATTTAAACCACAACTCCATCCTCTTTTTTATTTTTACAAGTCTTTGTGGCTCTGCTAGTAATAAAGAAACTCAACTTGTCTTGGCACCTCTCCTAATTCTATCATTGTTCATGGCATTTTCTTGAAGGGATACATCACATGTATGTCAGGTATCAACTATATGCCAAAACTTATGTAATCTTATACAGGGGCCCTGTATAAATATGAATTAGTGGAAAAGTATTAGAAATGTTGTAGGAAGTCAGTAATATTAGTTCTTAGTTTAAAGTTTTAATTCAAACCTTTATAATGGAATCACTATCATGTAAAACATAATTGCTATAGAGCAACATATATGATTTATATCTCATATATCACTGTTTTCATTCACTTGATCCATTTTTTCTTGCATTCACAGAAAGGATCTTTGATCCAGTGGAGACACCTACTCATGGAGGAGGAGCGAAAGTGATTTCTTCCATAACCTCTGTAACCCATCATGAAATCTCTAACACTGTTCTGCAGGGTCTTCTAATCTTCTGCAGCAGGTTTTCTTGGGTGGGGGAGAAGGAATAGTGAAAATTGCCTCTCCTGGAGATTCAAGATGGCGTTGGAATGAGATGGCTGTGATTAATGGAGCTTCTGTTATCACGCCAGTATTGCTCAGCAGTAAGTTGTGGGAGACTCATCTAAGCCCTGTCGGGGCGAAGACAGATTGCCTGATATTCTTTTGGTTGATGTGGGATGGCAATCCCATATCCACTGGGAGAAATACAGGCATTTCTCAACCGGACAACACAGGGTTTTTTTAGCCCCTGCAAGTTCTCGACATCTGATGGATTAATTAGCTTATTTTAGCCAGATAAACATCGAACGGCTGGTAAGCATTCTTATTTCTTTTTGCAATACTACCCGTGGAAAAGCTGCATTTGTTTATAATTGGCTTCAGAAAAAAAGAAAAAAAAGCCCTCTTGAAGTCTTTAAGCAGCGACTGAAAGGGGGAGAAAGGAAGACTTTTATCTGAGTTGAAGCCGAAGAAAAAGATTTTTCTTCTAATCTCTCTAAGGGTGAAAAATTAAGATAAATAACTACTGTGGAATTAAATGATAGGACGGTAAAATGTAGAGCGATCATTTTGGATAATTGCTTGGACTTCTGCCAAGACTAACTGGACATCTGCCAGGATAATTTTTGCATTGTGTGGTGTTTTTCTCTCTGCTGTGATGACTTTCTGGTGAGCATTTTTACTTTCTTTTTGCAATTTTACTTGTGGAAAAACGATATCTGTTGTTATTTGGCATAAAGAAGAAGGGAAAGCCCCCTTTGAAGAAGTAAAATAACATCTATTGGGGAATTAAGCTGGCGGCCATTTTCGGCTAGCTTCCATTCTTTCTGGGACTTCTGCCAGAAGACAATGATGACATTGTTTCCTTTTTTTTAAAATAGCCTTTTGCTGCCACCCGGTGGCTATTGGAATTATTGCAAGTCATTTCCATTTTCTTCTTCTTCTTCTTCTTCTTTTTTTTACTGATTTATTCAATTTATATTTTTTCTCCCCTCCCTTTTTTTTCAGTATATTGAAATTTCTTTGGTGAACAACCTTCATTATGGGGAAAACTCAGCCCTCTTCAGCACCCTCCTCAGTTGGTCAAAGTCCAATTCATCAGCCTAAGACAGAAGATGTTGCAAAAAGTTTAAGAGAGTTGCAAACGACGATTTTGGCAATACAGGCGGCTTTAACAACTGTGTCAACATGGTTGGAAAGCTTATCAAATGAGCAAAAAGAACGACTTGATAAATTGGATAAATCTATTAAAGAGGTGACAACTCAACTATCTGATGTTTGACTTAAAGTGGAACAGAATACACAAAAAATGCAACAAGTATGTGAAAAATTGGAGACAGTAGATAAAGAAATATATTTAATTAAGCAAACAAATAAGTCAACATGGGACTCAACAGCTGCATTAGAGATGGAGAAGGCATCTTACTAAGATTTCAGAATATACCTGAAGAGAAAAATGAAGACCTACAAGAACTTATAACTGACATGTTGGCAGAGCTTTTAGAAATAAAAAATGAGGTCATAGGTATGGGAATTGACCTTGTTTTTAGGGTCAACTCCACATATACCAGAAAAAATAAACTTCCGAGAGAAGTTCATGTCAAATTTGCTCTAAGGTCCATAAGAGACATTGTTTTGAAGGCCATACGGGAGAAGCCGTTAAAGAGAGATGATTGTCAGGAGGTGATGGTCCTGAAACAGATACCATGGAGGATTAGAGAGGGACGGAAGAAATATCTATTCCTTACTACCAAACTGATCAAGAAAAAGATTATTGTTAGGTGGCTAATACCAGAAGGAATATTTTTCACATGGAACTCTGTAAGATATAAATTGGATTCAATTTTTAAAGCACAAGAGTTCTATGAGGAATTCAGAGCCATATTGGAAGAGGAAGATCCTGTCGTCTCTAAAGAAGAGAAAAAGGTCCCGAAGCAATGGAAACAACAGCGTACCATTCTGAAGAAGGAGAAATACTGAGGGTTGATTCACAACAAGAAGTACAAACTTTGGACTCAAAGGGGAAAAAAAGGTAGAACTGTAAAGGCAAAGAATAAGTAGATAATTTTATTTAAATATGGCTCTTAAAAAGGAAGGGAAAATTGAATTGTTCTCCTTAAATGTTAATGGACTAAATGGACCATCTAAGAGAAGAAAGATTTTTGCTCAACTTCAAAGTTAGATATAATCTGTCTACAGGAAACACATATTAAGAAACAATGTGTTAAACTTCTGGAATGCTTAAAACTGGGGAAATTGTTCGTATCTTCTGCATTGCAAAAGAAAAGAGATTTAGCACTATATGTTAAAAGAAAAATTGGACCCCAAATATATTCTTGCTGACGAGGATTGTAGGATCTTGATGGTAGAAATTACAATTAAACTTAAAAAGGTGCTCTTAGTGGCAATATACAGACCAAATGACCATCAGGAAACTTTTTACCAAAAATTACACACGCTACTTTTGCAAGTGGACTACCAGACTATGTGTGTAATGGGTGATTTTAATGCAATTGTGGATAAGCGAATCAATTACAAGAGTGAAAGAAAAGAAAAAAAGGGTAGGAGGATGTTTCCAAAGTCTTGTTCCAGCATGCTTGAAGAATTCAGATTGATAGATGCCTGGAGGCATAAAAACCCAACTTTGCCAATTATTCTTTTTACTCAAGCAGACATAGGTCATGGTCTAGAATTGATATGGTTTGGATAACTCCAGACTTAGTTCCAGATTTAATAGAAGCTGAAATGGAGACAAATGTCTGGGCAGATCATAACCTTGTATCTATATCACTGAAAGGAGCTGCAAGGACGCCCAGATGGAGCTTAGATAAAGCATTACTAAAAGATAAAAATTTAGAGAAGAGATAAGCAAAGAAATGCAAATATTCTTTCAAATAAACAAAGCAGAAGAAACTTCTTTACAGAGATTTGTCTGGGATATAGCTAAAGCCTATGTTAGGGGACTGATAATAACTTACTCAGCAAAAATAAAGAAAAAGCGAACAACATTAGTAGAAGAACTGAGGAAATGGGAACAAGAACTGCAGGAGGATCCAACAAAAAGAAATCTTAGGGTCCAAATGAATACTTTAAAGCATAAATTGAATCTCTTGGATATAAATGAAATTACTAAGCAAATGAAATTAGCCAAACAGAGTTTTTTTGAAAATGCTAATAAACCGGGGAGATGGCTAGCATATAAAGTAAAAAAGGAAAGAGAGAAGAGACTGATTTTGAAACTGAAAGACAGAGAAGGATGACTACAGGTACAAAATACACAAATCAAGAAAGTAGCTGAAGACTTTTTCGCAAGGTTATACCGGAAGGAGGAGATTCTGATCGAGAAGGCAAAAGAAAACATTTGAAAGGGAGACTTACCAAAACTACCAGAAAAGTATCACAAATTATTGAATCAAGAAGTAACAACTATGGAAATAACAGACACAATTATGCGACAAAAGAACAATAAAACCCCTGGTCCAGATGGGCTACCAGCTGAATTTTATAAATCTTTTGAGGGAGTTTTTGCTATATTTTTTAAAGATATATGTAATGGAGCACTGTTAAATGCTAAAATACCAGATACTTGAACAGAGGCAAATATCACATTAATACTGAAAGAAGATATGGACTTAACACAGATTCAAAATTATCGACCTATATCATTACTAAATGTGGATTATAAAATTTTTGCCTCTATACTGGCAGAAAGGTTGAAGAAGTTTTTAATAGACTTTATTCATCCAGACCAAAATGCTTTCCTGCCTAAAAGACAAACGAAGAACAATCTGAGGACTATCTTGGATATTTTTTTATTTTTATTTATTTATTAAAACATTTTTATATCCTAGAAAACTATGAGACACACATGGAAAAATCAATGGCTCTGCTGTTTTTAGATGCCCAGAAAGCCTTTGATAATGTTAATTGGCAATTCATGAAGCAACAGATGGCTCAAATGGAGTTTGGGGGAAAATTCATGAATGTGATATCAAGTATCTATCAAAGACAATCAGCCAGGATTTTAATTAATGGAGAACTTACAAGGGCGATAGAGATACAAAAGGGTACAAGGCAAGGATGCCCGTTGTCACCCCTATTGTTCATTCTGACTTTAGAGGTTTTGAATAGAATTGTTAGGGATGACGAGAACATTAAGGGTACTAAAATTAGAGACAAAAATTATAAATTGCAAGCATTCACAGATGATTTGGTCTTCATAACAGAGGAACCTTTTGTAACAATCCCTAAACTTTTACAAAGGATTTAAGAATATGGTGAGGTTACAGGGATGAAAATAAAGAAAGAAAAAAATGAAACTTTTAGTTAAAAATCTTATGCAAGATCAGAAAAAAAAGACTCCAAGAACAAGTGGATTTGCAGATTGTTAAAAAGGTTAAATACTTGGGAATCTATCTTACAGCTAAATGCACAACTTTGAAAGAAGACAATTATGATAAATTATTGAAGGGTATTAAAGGTGATCTGGAAAAATGGGCCAATTTACAACTGTCTTTGATGGGAAGAATAGCACTTGTTAAAATGAACATACTACCAAAACTTTTGTTTTTGTTCCAAATGATTCCTGTAAAAAATGATGAAAATTTTTTTGAGGATTTAAATTTTCAAATTTTGAGATTTATTTGGAGAAAAAAGAAATCAAGGATTAAATTAAAAATGCTTCAAGAAACCAAATAGAATGGGGGTTTTGGTCTTCCTGATTGGATGTTGTATTATCAAGCGTCTATTTTAACTTGGCTAAAAGAATGGATAACTTTGCGAAATAAGAGAATTTTGTATCTTGAAGGTCATAATTTGCAAATGGGTTGGCATGCTTACATGTGGTACGAGAAGGTTAAGTCTCATGGGACTTTTTTAAGTCACTTTATTAGAAGATCATTAATGTCAGTGTGGGAAAAGTTAAAGTCAAAATTGTATAATAAATTACCAAGATGACTTTCACCAATGGAAGCCTTTGTGTATCCAAATGTATTAAACTTTGAAAGGATCATAAGATATGATGATATTATGGACAAGGATGGAGGCCTGAAACTAGATCAAGAAGTACAAGAACAGGGACTCAACATCTCTTGGTGGTATAAGGCGCAGATGCAATCAAGATATGCTAAAGATTGTAAAATATGGGGGTTTTATAAAGACCCAACAGCCTTTGATCAAGTGATGTGAAAAACAGATGAGAAAATGATCAAAAGAATTTATGAGTTCTTGCTTGACAGGAAGATGGAAGGGGAACAGGTTAAGGAAACTATGATAACAAGGGCACAAAATTTTGGATATAATATTGAATTAGAAAAGTGGCAAAAGCTATGGGAGAGAAATATCAAGGTAACTTTAGCAACTTCGTATAAAGAAAATTTATATAAAATGTTTTATAGATGGTATTTGTCGCCAAGTCAATTAGCTAAGATGTTTCCAAATATGTCAAACAGATGTTGGAAATGTAAACATGATGTGGGTACTTTTTACCATATGTGGTGGACCTGTGAATATGTGAAAAAGTATTGGATTAAAAGACATAAATGGCTTGAGGAAATGCTACAAAAACCCTTAGCTTTTAAACCTGAAATTTTCTTATTGGGCATTATACCGGAAAATATTAGCAAACAAGAAATGTATTTGATGGTACATTTAATCACAGCGGTGAGGATTGCGCTTGCTCAATACTGGAAGAGTGAGGAACTACCCACAGAGGAACTGATTTGATAAAAGATTCTGGACTGTGCAGAAATGGACAGATTGACTCTATTACTGAAGGAGAAAGAAGATACTGACTTCTATCAAACTTGGGACCTTTTTATGATTGGCTGGAGAAATGGGACTTGGCTTAGATTTAAAGATGTTCTTAAACTTTTATAGATTGATCTGAACTTGATTATAGAATGTTAAAAAGATATGTTATAGGGGGCTGACCCAGTACATCCGATGTATTTGATGATTGATGTTTTTAGTTTTTTAGTTTAAATTTTTTTTAATAAAAATCTTTATTAACAAAAATGCCTCTCCTCTTGCCTCTCCTAGGACCATCCCATGAGCAAACACCTCTGCATCTACGCCCATATACATAAGCAGCAGCTCTACATATTTTGGATATTTTAAAAAATCTCTAGCAATTCCAGAGACAGACACATGCCTAATTACACCATACTGTATCCCATGCCGCCCACATGCCAGCAGTACCGAGTGTTAACAAAATGGTGAGCTAGTACAGTGGTACCTTGGCTCACGAACTTAATCCGTTCCAGGACTCTGGTCGTGACCCAAAATGGTTGTGAGCCAAGTTCAATTTCCCCATACGGTTCAATGTAAATAAGGTTAATCCATTCTGTAACTATTTTTTAATCAGTAAAATGTGAAACAAAGTGACAAAGAACAAAGATCAAGGCCATCTCCCCACCCTGAGCATGAGCGTGGCCATCTCCCCCCTCCCTGCACAAGCATGATTGTGCCCATCAATCCTGCACACGCCTGTCATTCCAGCACACTTGGGGGGGGGGGGGGAGACAGCGCGATCACAGGTACACTGGGGGGGGGAGAGACGGGCGCAAATGGGGTGTGCTGGGGGAGGGAGAAATGGGCATGAACACAGGCGCATGGGGGGGGAGACAGGCGCGATCATGCTGGGGGGGAGAGATGGCTGAGATCGCAGTTGCACTCCTTCAGGAAAGGTGGGTGCAATCACGAGCGCGCTCCTGCAGGAAAGACAGACGTGATCTCGGCCATCTCCCCCCCACCACCGGCACGATCACAGCCATCTCCGCACTCTGGGGGGTGGGTTGGGGAGATGACCGTGATCATGGTCGCCACCCAATGTACAGTTCGCAACCTGAGTTAAAATTTTTATGAAATTTTGTGTTCGCAACCCGATTTGGTCGTGAACCAAAGCGTTCATGAGCCAAGGTACCACTGTGCTTGTTCAAGCAACCTGAAATGTGCAGGAACATTCATTTCCAAAATAGGTCAGTTCAGCAGAACTCATAGAAAGGAGTTCTCATTGGAAATTAGCATTTTCACTTGTTTCCAGGGTTCCTTTACAGAGCACTGCCTCTTCATTCTGCAGTGAGTTCCACTGATACAACACAACAAATGAGAGCCCAAAATTCCACTGGATATTGTCCAGTGCCATCTTAGTAAATCAGGAGCAGTCATAATAATGATCCACACCACTGTAAGTCTGTATGCTTTTTTCTACTGAGCCACTCTTCCCTATGAATTGAATAGAGAAACAAGTACTGTTTTCATTACTATCCTTATCTGAGATCCCAGGAAGCTAGAGTACAACCATGGAAAGACTCACAGTCTCACTATATGCACAAGTTAATTTGTCAATGTTTAGAACTTTAAGCCTTCTTAACTCAGACCCATCAGGCATCAATGCTATTCAAATTTTCAGTGCCAGGTTCAGACTGCCCTCTGTTCCCAGGTATTTAATAGCATATGAGGTCAGTTATCTTTAACAGGTCTAATTTTTATTGCAACTATTTTTAGCTGTTTAATTTGCTTTTAAGTTTTGTAGCCTGAAATTTAAGGCTATATTTTATTATTTTGTAAATGTTGTTTATGATTCTGTGAACTGTTGTGAACTTCCCAGGGAGCTTTTGTTACTGGGCAGTAGAGAATTAAGGTAACTACTACTCCATGAAAAAATTGCAGAGAGAATTCTTGATTCACTTCCTATTTTCAGCAGGATTTTGTAACAACACAGTCAAAATCCATTACCTGCAAATTGTATCCTAAGCAAAGTCTGGCCTTTATACATGTTGGATCAAGATGTATTGCTTTCAAGAAATCTTTCAGGGCTTGTTTGGTGGCTTCCTGATGACCAAATTCCATGTATGAATTCGCTCGTCCAATATAGCCATCCAAAAAAAAGGGATCTAATTTAAGAAGCTTGGAATATGAATGCACGGCTTCTTCATACTTCTTAAGCCTAAAATCAATATACATTAGAAGATTGATTTATTAGCAGTATTTGAAGCTGTATAATTTAAGTATACATATTTTAATAAGGAAACAAGCAATGATAACGAGAGAGAGAGAGAGAGAGAGAGAGAGAGAGAGAGAGAGAGAGAGAGAACTGCCAGTTTCTAAATATCCCCCTTATCTCTGATACATGCTCCCATGCCTTGTTTTGACAAGGCTCACAGCATTTAATTATATAGCTCTCAAAATTCACTTCTTAGGTTGCAGATTGAATAAGCCAAGTGAGGTAGGTGACTCAGATGCAAACTACATTTTTCTGTTTCATCCAAATGAGTAAACTATGGTTTGTAATTCTCTGCCCTATAAACTGCTCTAGAAGATTTCCTACGTTGGTTTCCAATACTAGTTTTCCAGACAAGCATAAAACCAGTTTGCTGGTTCAACTGAACTTTCAAAACATACATGAGTTTCAGGAAAATCTTGTTTATTTTTTAAGTGAGGGTGTTACAAGGCATTTGAAAGAAAACATTCTAGACTGATGCATGTGTGTGTGTTGCATAAACGTGTTAACTACTTTAGACAGATTACTGTTGCGTCATCATCTTCACAGTACAAGATATACAGATTTAAAAGGTATATGTTATTGCACCATCTGCTCATGCAAGCATAACTCTTACTTTAACAATGAAATCTCCACAGCAGAAAATTTCTCATTTTGCCCAATGAAATTTTCTGTACAGCTTACAAGGAGTTTCTATGATACACATCAGGATCTCAGGTATGCCCTCAGTGAACTGAGTGCAAGATTGCTAATAAATCCTGTTGAACTGATATTTTCTACTCTGCATTGCTAAGATAGGAACAGGAAGCATAAAAGACAGTTTGAGAATGAGCTTTAAAAACAGAACAAAACAAAACCAGAGGCTAAAGCATAAGTTGCCTATCCAACAGCTACTAGGAATCTAGTGGAAGTGTTCTTACAAGCGTTGATGTTAAAAGAAGCAACAAAAAGATGCATAAACATCATAAATATTTTGATATTACTAATACCAAGCATTAAGTAATTGGGCCATACATAGGCTTATAGAAATTTAAATCACTCCATTTGCCAAAGTACTATTATGCAACTGTATATCAAGTCTATTGATTTTCAGGTCTCTGAACAGGTCTAACAAGCTCTCTATGGAATGCTGTTTCCTAGCAACCACTTGAAAGTGAGCAAAAAGACAATGAACCATTGCACAATTAAAGTGGATAAGAGGAAAATGTATGGCACCTGAAAAATATGAAATCCCTTTTCTTTATACCAAGGCCAGATCTATCATCCTACAGAATGAAGCACCCTGTTTCATATAGTATCAGAAGAACAGAATAAATGAAGACAAGCTGGCATTTGAATTCTGGTCCACCAATACTTTTTCATATGTTGGCCATAACTGGTGATAGATGAGGAGTTCCCATTTTGGGCTCACTTCAGGCAGTAAAATATATAGGGTTGTCACTGTTTTGTTTTGTTTTGTTTTAGTTTTGTTTTTGCTGAATTCCTTCCAATTCTATCCCTAAGCTCTCCTGTAATTTTTACTGTAAATAGTGACACAAATATATTTCAAATTCATTCTGGTCAGTATTTAGTATTACCTATGATAACAGAGTCCAATAACTTGAAGTAGTTGTCTATCTTTTGGTTTACTCTGTGCCACCTCTTTAAAGTCCTAAAAATAGAGAAAGATAACACATTGTAATGCACCCTACATATATGCCTATGAAGCAATTAATTTATTTTATTTATTCAACTGATATGCCTCCCCACTAGCATAGGCTCTCTCAGTACTTGGGAATCCTGGGTGGCTGACCATTACAGAAACAAACTGTTTTTCTAAAGACTGAAGTCCAAGCAAAGTCTTTTCCAGTGCCCAGCTTTAGCTCTCGTTATGTTAGAGAGAAACCCAGTTTGCCTCAAAAAGCAATAGAAACAGTCCAAAGTAGCCCAATTCAACTTAGGCTTCTACCAAATCTGATATGCATGCCTAGTATCCAGCAAAGGAACTTATAAAACAACATTTTTCAAGCTGTTGCAGTCTATAGTACAAAAGACAAGAAATCTATTATTTTGTAAGTACCATACGGGAGAGGGGAATTCTATACCTCTAGTGCATTATCATGCTGGTCCAATTCTATATAGAGTAGTGCACGGTTGATCAACACTTTCAGGAAAGTGTCATTGCTAGTTTCTAGAAGGAGAACAATCCCATAATCTTTCAATGCCTATAAAAAACAGTGGACATAAGTGTTGAAAAGTAAAAAAAACCATGACATACATGTATTAGTTTAGGGAATTATTGCCTTTACAAAGGAATTCCCATCTTCCTTATCTTTAAAGGCTCTAGAAATTTGTTTTCTATTATATAACTGTACTAGGTATTATACATTGAGAGAAAGAGAGAGAGCGCAGCTCCCCCCCCCCCACCACAATTTCAGGAAAAAACAGAAAATAATTGCAAGTTTTTGTTAGAACATTGATTTAAATGCACTAAAGTTAATATAAATATATGCTGTACATATTGGCGTAATAAGATTCAGGTTGGAAATTTATATTATGTGAATTCAAGAATCAAGTCATTCTTTCTTCCTATTTTAACTCTGATAGCCAGGATTGCAAAGTAGTGAATCTTTACTATAATAATACAGGTTAAAGGAGTGCCTTGACTTTCCCTTTTAAGGAGATGAAGTTATAGTCAAAATGTGGCAGTTCTTTACTTCAGTCATGAAAAGATTGATCTGCTCTAACAAAAATTATTTCAGACCACTTCTTGCTTTTTTACAACTCTGACATCAACTGCGATGGTTACCTATATGTGAAAGTTATATTTGCTCTGTACTCTTAATCTTTCAAATTTGAGAAAGTTATTAAAAATAGAATTTCTTTCAACCAACAGATGTAGGTTCCAAAATGCTGCTAAGCCATCAGGTGGAACTGCATTAGTCTGTAGATATTGACATTCTGTTCCAGTATTTTGTACAACATAAGGCTGTAACTTTAAGAAATCCAGACTGACATCCTATGTAAAAGTAAGCCCGAAGATGCCTTCCTCAACTGCAAAGGGAAAAAGGCCAAAGCGAGTGATGATGCAATGAGATCATTAGCATCTGGTCACTTATTCCATGTTTGAGTCAGCTACACTAGCTTGAGTAACTCATGGTTAGATTAGATGGAAATCAGAAGCTAAACATGAATATACCACAGGCTAATAGGAAAGTACCAAAACAAGGAAATCTACCTCATTCAGGCTTGATGGATTTCCTGTTTACTTTCCATCTGATGACCTGAAGTGGGTTAAGTCAGGGTGGGGTTCAGATTTCTGTCTCTTAAGATAAACCACATTTTGCATATCTTATTTAATAATTAATTAAATATGTGCAAATAAATGCCCCAAATCCTCATGGCTCTAGCACGTACACAAAACAGCCACATGGTTTTCAGGTGCTAGTTTGTGCAAATCAGAGGTTAAAATGCAAACATTGCAAGTTCATCCTACAGAGAGATGGCAGTGGGCTGGTTTAGCATGCACCACAGCATGTCAGTGCCAGCACAACAGTTAGGGTTGGGGTTGAGCTTCAGGTTAGGGTTTGGAAAACGTGAGTCCCTGTGCATGACCAGAGGCCCAGAACTTATCTCCACTGGGTAAGGTAAGTGAGCAGTCAGCAAGAATATCCTGAATTCTGCCTTCTGAAATTATTTCTGAATGTGTAAGAGCCATACTGGCATATTAAGGGTTAAACTTCTGGAAAATCTGGTTTCATGTACATTTTCAGGTAAATCACCTAGATTAGGCAAGTACAAAGAACTATCAAGAAGTATACCCTGGGTGCTGCCTTTGTGCATGTTGTCTCAATGTAAAGTGATTACACTTGGGTGTTTGGGTCGGGATAAAGACTACCTGGGTCCCTGTGCATGTTCAAGGGCCTAGAAAAGCAGGTTGCTTACCTGTAACTGATGTTCTTCGAGTGGCCATCTGTGCATTCACATATATGGGGGTGCTGCGCCTGCGCAGTGCCTAGGTCGGAAAGATTGAAAGCTAACAGTTTTTGGCAGGAAAACTCCGCTCCCCTCCCCCTCGGTAGCATATATATAGAGTGGAGTGTCCGCCATTTTCTCCAGTCTCTGGAGACTGAACGTTCGCCACCTCACGGAGAAAGATGGTATAACAAACTATCAGGTACCGTCGTATCCCCTTCCAGTACCGATGCCATAAAAATATGAGGTACCGAAGCAGTATTATACGGTAATGATGACGAAACCACTCACCGACACCGAGTGGGGCCGGCGGGTGGGTTGTGTGAATGCACAGATGGCCACTCGAAGAACATCAGTTACAGGTAAGCAACCTGCTTTTCTTCGTCGTGGCCTCTGTGCATCACACATATGGGTGAGTAGCAAGCTTACCAGAAACGGTGGTGGGCGGTGTTGCTATTGAAGAACGGCAGAAAGAACAGCCCTCCCGAAGGAACAGTCTCTTCTGGCATGCATGTCAAGGTGATAGTGCTTCGCGAAAGTACAAGGCATAGCCCAAGTTGCTGCTTTACAGACATCCTGGATCGTGACACCCACAGCAAACAAGGAGGAAGCCGACACCGCTCTAGTAGAATGGCCCCTTGGAACAACAAGTAAGTCCATCTTTGAGAGTTGGTACACCAATGAAATGGTTTGAACAATCCGTTTCGACAGCCTCTGAGATGAAACAGGTGATCCTTGGTCCCGCTCAGAGTACTTTACAAAAAGCCTATTGGAGCGTCGAAGAAACTCCATACGCGATCTATAAAAGGCTAAGCATTGTCGAACATCCAAGGTATGCAAGGACCCCTCGATCGGGTTTGACGGCGATGGAAAGAAAGCAGGTAGCACAATTTCTTGGTTCAGGTGAAACGGTGTGACAACTTTAGGTAAAAAAGTTGGATCCATCCTTAGGACCACCTTTTCCTTATGAAAGTTTAAGTAAGGTGGATCAATTCGAAGAGCACAAAGCTCACTGGCTCTACGAGCTAAAGTAACAGCAACAAGGAAGGCCGTTTCCCACGAAACGAGACACATATTGACAGTGACTAAGGGCTCAAACGGTAGTTTCGTAAGCGCCTGAAGGACAACCGAGAAGCTCCATGTCGGCATAACCGGCCGAATAGACGGATGGAGATTCTGCAGTCCTTTAAGAAATTTTCGAATAACACCGAAAACACGGTGTACCGAAAACACGAAAATTTGCGAAAACACCGACAATCCTTGTACTGTACCTCTATAATGTGACATTGCAGCTACATAAACCTTAATTGAGGAAGGTTTCAGTCCCGAGCAATGCAGGTGCAACAGAAACTGAAGAATATTCTCAACTGACGCCGTAACCGGGTTAAATGAGCTAGATTCCACAAAGGATGAAAAACGGTGCCACTTTGCTGCGTAGAACTTTCGAGTTGACGGCCTTAGTGCAGACTCGAGAATCCTTACAACGTCCGGATCAAGGGAGCTCAGTCCCAACAACATTCCCGTCGGTACCGAGTCAGTGAGGGGGTCAGACTGGTCATGAGTTGAGGTACCGACTGATCTAGTAGTTCTCTGTCCCAAAACAGTCTCTTGGATCAATGAATCCTCCACGCAGTGAGGCTCAACGACAACAAGTCCGGGTGACGGACAGCGCCGTTTTGCTGAGTTAGTAGATCTTGTATGCTTGGAAGAAAAAGGAAATTGCCGTCCGAGATCTGAAGGAGAGTGAAGAACCATGCTTGATTGGGCCACCAAGGTGCTATGAGTATTCCTGTGGCGGCGGCGTGCACTATCTTCGAGATGACTTTGGTCAGTACAGGAATAGGTGGGAATGCGTAAAACCTGATGTGTCCATGGGATCATAAGGGCATCCCCCATCGATCCTGGTCCTATTCCCGCCCTGGAGCAGAATTTTTTGCACACCTTGTTTCTGTGGGTAGCAAATAGGTCTATGTCCAAATGTCCCCACAGTTGGAACAATTGAATGCAGACTTGGTGATTCAGTTCCCATTCATGGGTGATCAACATGTGTCTGCTCAGGGTGTCTGCCTCTTCCTTGTCGGTCCCGGCCAGATGAACCGCCAAAAGGGTTATACCTCTCGGGATACACCACTCCCAAATGTCCATGGATAGGCAGGCTAGAGCGATGGACTTTGTTCCGCCCTGTTTGTTGATATAGAATACCACCACTATGCTGTTGGACGTGATTTGTACCACTTGGTGGTGAAGAGCTACTTCGAAGGACCGGAGTGCCTTGAAAATCGCTAGTAGCTCGAGGTAATTTATGTGGCTCAACAATTGTTGGCAGTTCCACATGCCCTGGGATCGAAGGCCCGCACATACCGCACCCCACCCGACCAGCGAAGCATCGGTGTATAGAGTCATCGTCGGGTGAGGGGTGATGAAGGGGGTCCCCACGTTTAAATTGGCCGGGGATATCCACCAAGTCAATGTTCGTAAAACAGCGCGGGGCATATGAAGTAGTTTGCCGGGTGAATCTCTTTGTGGACGAAAGTTCTTGTTGAACCAGAGTTGAAGAAGAAGGAACTTCAACCTGGCATGTGAGACAATGGCGACTGTGGTGGCCATGTGACCCAAAAGTCTTGTACTAAGAGCGCTATCACTATGCGTCTTTGTCGAATCTGAGAGATGCAGACGCGGAGGCTGTCCTGACGAGCTTGAGGGAGGAACGCCCTTGCAAACATGGAATTGAGGCGAGCTCTGATGAAGTCTATCACCTGTGTAGGGACAAGAGATGATTTTTCACTGTTAATGCAGAGTCCAAGATTGTCTAACAGTATGCAAGTAGCCTGAACAGCTGACAGTAGGGTTTCACGTGTCTGTGATACTATAAGCTAGTCATCCAGCTAAGGGTAGACTTGGATGCCCTGAAGACGAAGGTGAGCACAGGCTGGTGCCATACATTTTGTGAAGACCCTCGGAGCTATGGCCAAGCCAAACGGAAGGACATTAAACTCGTAAATGTCAGTTCCGACGGTGAAACGCAAAGATGCCTATGACTTGGATGAATCGAAATATGGAAACAGGCATCTTTTAAGTCACGGGAGGCGAACCAATCCTCTCTCCTCAGCAGTGGAAGGATATTTTGAAGGGTAGTCATCCGAAAGTTCTTTGGTTTGATAAACTTGTTGATATTCGGAGGTCCAAGATCGGACGAAGACCACCGTCCTGCTTCGGGACCGTAAAATATCTGGAATAGAATCTGTGAAGCCCTTCAGAGCTAGAGATCTGTCGAATCGCCCCTTTACAAAGCAGTTGTTGCACTTCATTCACTAGCACTGCGGAGCATGGTGTAAATCGAATTGGGCTCGACGGAGGAACGGTATCAAATTCTATTCTGTATCCAAGCTGAATGATTGACAGGACCCACTAATCAGATGTAATGGACTCCCAAATGGGGAGTCAGCCTTGCAGCCGTTCCCCAAAGGGGAGGATATGCAGGTGGGTATGCAGGTGGAGGAGAGGTTCACCTGTCCCATCAGCGTTGACACTTCTCAGTATCGAAACATTGACGGTTTTGCGGGAAACGCTGATGAGGTTGTTGCCTTCTGTGTTGCGGCCTTTGTTGGTACTGTCGCTGCGGCGGCTGGTAGCAGAAGGATGGACGTGACCATGACCACTTACATTTGAGCTGTCTGGGCAGTTCCATATGTCTAGCCATCATCCGGGATTCATGGATGGACTTTAGTTTGTGGTCGGTGCGGGAGTGAAAAAGCCCGGAGCCGTCAAAGGGCATTTCTTCTATTCGCCGCTTCATTTCATCAGGGAAGTTGCAGTTTCACAACCGATGGTGCTGTCGAACCCGAACCAGTGCCTCTTCTTATAAGGTGGTTTGGCCACCTTATCTTTCCTCGCCTTCTTATGGGCCAAAGACTGATCTGATCCCCCGTGCTTCCTCTTTTCCCGTTGTTTATGCAGGGGAGAAAGAGGTTGTTGAGCCCCGGAGGGGGAATTTCCATCATCCGATGGGTGCGGCTGAGACATATGCGGCGTGGGCGAAGGGCGTTGCCCAGACATGTCCGAGGCAGAGGCTGGGCATTGAACTGCCACAGACGAGGCTGTGGCCTTGCACTTAGCAGATGGAGCATGCGCTGGCTCAGGCTTTACTGCAGCCTGATCTGATTGCATCAGCGCTTGATCCCATAGGAGCTTCCGCAGTCGGTTCTCACTATTTTTTCGCGCTTGCTTATTAAAAGCAAGGCAATGGCGGCATTTATCAAGCCTATGCCCCTCACCGAGGCAAAGGAGGCATAAGTCATGTGGGTCCACCAGAGACATTTTGGACCCACATTCTGCACATTTGTGGAAAGCCGCTTGCTGCGCCATCGCAGAAACAGAAGAAATAGAATATAGGAAAGAGGGAAGAGTAATATATTTTTGGTTTGTTTTTTTTTTTAATAGGAACGAAGAAAAAGAGAGAAAAAAAGAGATATAAACTGCAACGAGGGAACAATAACTTGGAATAAGAGCAAAAGGACAAACGGTAAGTAACGAACAATACTGAGTCAAGCAAGAGACGAACAGGCATGAGGCACAGTGAATGGTGGTCACAAAAGACTGGAGAAAATGGCAGACACTCCGCTCTATATATATGCTACCGAGGGGGAGGGGAGTGGAGTTTTCCAGCCAAAAACCATTAGCTTTCAATCTTTCCGGCCTAGGCACTGCACAGGCACAGCACCCCCATGTGTGTGATGCACAGAGGCCACGATGAAGAACTAGTCTTGACTGGGCAGAAAGAATGAGCTGTCAATAAGAATACCCTGACTTCTGCCTTTCAAAATTATTTCTGAATGTTTAAGGACTATACTTGTATGTTAAAATGGGTATATGCTTCAGATTAGGGCTAGCATTAGAAAATCTGGGTCCCTGTTGTAAGATCTGGGATGTAGGCAGCAGGTGCCCATGGCTGGAGAATCAAGACCAGGGGTGATGGAAGTTGATGGGGATTTTGGTACTATACAGTAGGGCCAGAGGCAAAGTGAAGTCAGGAACAAGCAAGGGATACCATCAAGGAATAGCAAAACCAGAAGCAAAGAGAGTCAGAAACAAATGAACATGAGTTAACTCAGGTAGGCCTGCCAGGTCCAGAGATACCAGCAAGGTAAGGGAAGAAACAAAGGCAAGGTCTGGAACAGGCAAGGACCAGATTCCAACAAGACACAGCAGAACCAGAGGCAAAGGCAAGATGAGATCAGATGCCAGCAAGGTAATGCAGGAACAGAAGCAAAACAAGAGAAGACAAGGATCAGAAACCTGATAAGGCAGCATCAGACCAGAGGCAAGGGCAAAGGCAGGAGCAGTCAGGGGACAAAGCATAGGAAAGGGCAGGGCACAAGAGCAGGATCACAGAGCAACTACCACAAAGGCCCATGTTAATAGCAAAAGTGAGCAATGCAGGGAAGCCTTTTATAGAAGCTTTTGGAGCTTTGAATTGTGTGATGTCAAGTCTCCAACTCTTGCAAGCACCTGCAAATCTGATCGTATTTGCAGAGTGAACTGTGCTGCTCTTTAGCATCATGTCGCCAGGGGAAGGCTGTGTCAAGGCTTTGGATCCTGACATGAGTGCATGTTCACAGGCCTGAAAATAGCCAAGCTTTTTGCACAAAGTGAGCGATCAACTAGAACATCCTGATTATAGCTACTGTGCACATTGGCTACATGTATAGGGATTATACCCAAGTGCTTGGGTTCAGATTAAACTTCTGATTAGGGTTAGAAAATCCTGGCTTCTTGTGTATCTCCATGGGTTTGGAAAAAGTTTCAAATGGGCAGAAAGAGTGAGTGGGCAACAAAAATACCCTGAATGCTGCCTGTGTGCATATTAACTGGATGTATAGTGACTGTACCTGAGTGTCAGCATTTAGGTTAAACTTCAGATTAGGTTTAGAGGTAAACAATATTATATGATTGCAAATTCTATAAAAAATACATACATTTTTCCAGTCCTTTAGTTTGTGGAAGGAAATTGCCCTATTGTAATATGCCAAAACACATGCATTGTCCAGGTCTATAGCTGTAGTTAAATCTTCAACAGCCTGTTTATAAGTCTATAGGGGAAAATTGGCATAGTATTAGCATTAACTGAAAACATCACATGAACTACAAAGAAGTAAACAACTAAGTATCACATTCCCTGTGTTGGCAGGAGTGCTATTCATCTTTGTTGCAGCAGCAGCCTGGGAACACTTCAACACTCAAAGTCATAGAATCATAGACAAGTAGAGTTCAAAGGGGCCAGAGGGCCACTGGGTTCAACCCCCTGATCAGTGCAGGACTCCAAGTTAAACTTTTCCTTATTTCTAGCCAGAATTTTGCTTCCTGAAATTTGAGCCCATTATTCTGTGTCCTGTACTCTGCAATGATTGAGAAGACATTGTGGCCGTACTCTTTTTGAAAGCTTTTGTAGGGTGCTTGTAGAGTAGAGTGCTTGTAGAGTGCTATCATAACTTTCCTCATTCCTCCCCTTTTCAGGCTAAACATGCTCAGTTCTTTCAATCTCTTCTCACAGGAGTTATTTCTAATCATGGAATCATCCTTGTTGCCCTCCTCTGAACCCTTTCCAGCTTGTCTGCATGTTTCTTAAAGTGTAGTGCCCAGAACTGGACACCATATTTCAGATAAAGCCTAACCAGTGCTGATTAAAGAACTAGCCCTTCACAGGATTTGGAAATGACACCTCTATTAATGCAGCCTAAAATGGCATTTGCTCTTTTTGTAGCCACATCTTACTGTTGACTCACACTCAGCTTGTGATCTACAACAATTCCAAGTTCCTTCTAACTTGCAGTATTGTTGATGCAAGTGTTCCCTATTTTGTAATGGTGCATCTGATTCCTTTTTTTAGGTGAAGAACTTGGCATTTGTCCCTATTGAATTTCATTCTGTTGTTTTTTAGCCCACTGTTCCAACCTATCAAGATCACCTTGAATCTTCTTTCTGTCTTCCAGAGTATTAGGTACCCTTCCCACTTTTGCATCATCTGAAAAATTGATCATTGTTCCCTGTACTTCCTCATCCAAATCATTAATTAAAATGTTGAAGAGCACTGGGCACAGGACTGAACCCTGTAGTGCCCTGTTTGTTACTTTTCCTTTGTTTGATACAGTGCCATTGATGAGCGCTCTTTGAATTTGATTCTGTAGCCAACTGTGGATCCACCTGATTGTTGTTCCACAAGCTCATTTGTTAATCAGGATATCATGAGGCACTTTGTCCAAAGCTTTGCTGAAGTCAAGATAGATTATGTCCACAGCATTTCCACAATCCATCAGGGAGGTTACCAATTTTTTTAAAAAAAATCTGATTAGTCTGGCAGAATTTGTTCTTGAGACATCCATGTTGGCTTCTAGTAATCAATGCATCGCTTTCAATCACTGCTTTAAAATATGCTCCAGAATTTTCCCAGGGACTGATATCAGACTGACTGGAATATAGTTCCCAGGTTCTTCTTTTTTTCCTTTCTTGAAGACAGAGACATTTGACCTTCTCCAGTCATCTGGCACTTCCCCGTCCTCCATGATTTCTCAAAGATAAGAGAAAGTGGTTCTGAGAGTTCTTCCACCAGCTCCTTTATGACTCTAGGATGGAGTTCATTGGGTCCTGGAAAAACCAACCCAATTAGATGATCCTTTACTCTTTTGCCTATCGAGCTTCCATCTTGCTCCTTCAGCTTATACTTTCCCTTCATCAGGAAGGTCATAGATCCTCTTCTGGGAGAAAAGTGAGCTGAAGTAGGCATTCAGCACTTCTGCCTTTTCTTTATCATCTATTATCATTTTGCCATCCATACTAAGTAGTTGAACCATAATTTCTTCCCTCTATTTTTAATTCTGGGTATATCTGAAGAAGGCTTTTTTTTTTTTTTGTGCTATTAGCATCCCTCACTAAAAACATCCCAGTTCATTCTGAGCTTTAGCCTTCCTGATGTCATCCCTGCAGTGCTGTGCTATCTTCTTGTATTCTTCCTTTTTTAGCTTGGCCTTCCTTCCACATCCTATACATGTTCTTTTTAATTTTCAGATCATTTCTAAGCTTTTTGTGAGGTCACATGGGCTTCCATGGTTGTCTTTTACCCTTTTCCTTGTTGGAATTGTTTGTAATTGTGCCTTTAGAATTTTCTTTTTTTTAAAAAAATCTCACCCATCTTGGATTCATTTTCTTACTAGAGTTGCTTGCCATATAACTTTATTTATCACTGTTTTGACTTTATTAAAACTAGTTATACCATTGTTCCCAATAGACTTATTCTCAATGAGGAACACTACTGCATTGCTGCTATTTGCTGCTTCTCCAGTGTTGCTTGAAGAAATGGTAAAGATTTTTCCAGTAAAAGAAAAAAATTATCCTTTTTCACCTTGTATCTATCACGGTAAACCACCAACATCCTAGAAAATATGACAGTGAATCACAAGCCCTTAAGTTCACACACACACACAAAAGGAGAAAAAATAACAACAAAAATAGAAGTCATTTCTGCATTCTCCACATCCCAAAAAGAAGTCTAGGCTGAATACTTCAGTTCAGCATTCATTTGGCTGTATATACACTCACAACACACACAGTTCCAGTATCTGTCTGTGCCTTAGAGCAGTGGTTCTCACACCTTTTTGGTCATGGAACATTCTTAAGACACTTTTTTCCCATGGAACCCTAACTCTATCCCTGATTTTAATAAGCATTGTGAACCCACAATGTTCTTCCTTCTTTCTTCTGCTGCTATTGCCTGAGTGCTTTGCATAACATAGCAGGTTTGGAAATAAAGAGAAAACATTTTAAATATAATGAATGAATAAAGCGATTATATGATAATATCCTGAAATGAATTCTTTCAATTATTCCCAACACTACTCAATAAAGTTCTAGGAATCAAACGATATTATGCATTTCCTTGTTTGCTGCTTGGACTCACAAGCAAATAGTTGGCCTTGTGCGGTTTCATTTCAAAATCTGCTTTAAATTTGATTTTTTGAAATTTCTTGCGGAACCCTAGACTTCTGCTGAACATAGTTTGGGAGCTGGGCACATAACCAAGGAGACTGACTTGGCTCCAGTGCTAGCTCCAAGTTTCTAAAGACTCTTGGGCAAGACACCCTCAATGGATCCCCTTCCTCACTGAGTCTATCTTCTCAGGACCACTGTCACCAGCCACTAGTGCTTCTGAACTTTCTCAGCACTGGTACTGCTTTACTTGCTTGATAGGCAAAAAGTCACTGAGAAAGTAGGCAGTGGAGCCCTTCTGTTTCTCCTTTCAACATCACCATTTCCTAGTCCAAAGTGAAAGGCAGGTAAGCAAGCAGGGCACAATGATGAAGTGAAAAAGAAAAACTAGATGGCACTCTCAGCAGGTGCCTACCCTTGATAGAGTTTCTGATTGGTTCCCTTTCTACTTAAGCAGTCAGGAGGGAAGACCTCTCCCTGCCATGTATTTGGGCTCTACAGAATTTCTCTAGGAAGGATTCCTCCAGTGGGGACATAACAGCACTCAAGCCTATTTTTTTTCTATTAGGCAGTATAAAAATGAACTAATTAAACAAAGAAACAAACAAATAAATAATATGGGCAACTCAGCATGAGACCTCTTCAAGGTTATTGGGCAGAAAAATCAACTAAAAACCCTCCAATTGCTTGCCACAATTAATTTGCTATCACTTAGTTAGTCCTTTATATAATAACCAATTCACAAGCTTTCTCTTGATTATCCAACAGAAATGAAAATCTCAGTATCAGAAATGAGAAACTCTAGGAGGAATGCAAGAATGGGGAAATGGAACTGGCTGGTACTATGATGCTCCCTCCACTTAGAAATTTGGCTGCCCCCATCTAACAAGAGAAGCCTGGTACAGAACTAAGTCCTTTGGTACGTCCACTTCCTCCAGTGCCAGAAGTCAGGGCTGTTCCTTTGGGCGTGTTCCATGCAAGCCAGGTGTATTTTCCAAAATGGGGCTCCACATAGACACACAGCCCCTATGGATGATACATAGAGACCACAAAAAAAGAACCTTCCCTTATTTCCAATCCTTGCTGAGATAAGACAGTGATCCCTTAAGCAACTGCCTTAAGCATGGACAGTAGTATCTTTTGGGGGGGGGGGGGGTGACAAGTGCAGGGCAAGTGTTTGGTGAGCCACTAGAAATGGGCTATCAGGCTGTACTTTTTGCACCCCAGTACACCCTAAAACACAACTTATAAATATTTTAAATATATAATGGCTGTAATTATTACACACCTGGGATTAAGTTCCTTTGAACAATGTGGCACTTACTTCTGAGTAAGCAAATACAGAAATGCACTGAAAAGTTCAAGCATCCCAGTGTTCTTTTTTGTAGGCAGCATCTCACCTATATTATCTCATCCTGCTTTCAGTAATTCATTGTGTGTTTTGTGCCTACTTCCAAACTATGCATGTGAGGTTTTTTTTCCTACTGGTGGTAATTATTTTAAAACTATATTCCTAAAACTTACATTCAATGGAGTCTGTTTCAACACTGGTCTATAAATCGATGCAGCTCAACTTTCCATATAAGTAAACAGTGCTGGACTCCAAGCATCCATTTCACCTGTAATAACATGGCATATGCTTCACCCCCAAAACTTAAGGTGGCAGTAGGAATACTTACCCTATTATAAAATTTCAGTGCTCCTCTGTAAAGATAGGCTCTCACACTCTTAGGCTCAATTTTGAGTGCTTCAGTACAATTCATTATTGCTTTAGAGTATCTTCCTTTGCTCCCAAAGTAAGCAGCACGACTTAAATATGCCTTTACAGAAGAAAACAAACACATCCCAGAACAACACTAGGGGGGAAAACTCCAAAGGCTTATGTGTACATCTTATTGGTTTGCACATGGAACAGATGGGTAAAATGTTCACCATTTTCAAGCTCTGGCTTATGTGTAATGATTAGCAAATATGAGCAGAATCAGCCATATTAATAATGAATATATAACACATGCACAGACTAAAAGCATGCCTATCAGAATCATTAATTATACAGTAAATGCAAATTAGTTTATCATTTGTACCTTGGAAAGTATTTTCATTTCCTTCAGTAGTGCATTTGTTGCTTCTGTGATTACTTAAAAGATTACAGTATCACAGACCCCCACTAGATAACTGTGATGAGAAGTGACATAATTCTTTGTCCCATGCCATGTATCCCTGTACTATCTAATCATTTTATTTCAGTTTTATCATAATTTTCAAGCTCCCCCACAACACAACCTCCTGTGAAAGTGCTCAACAATTCCCTCTATAAGCCAGGAAAATCACACAAGCTGCCTTGAGTGTTTTGCAAAAGGGAAAAAAAAAATTAGATATATAAATAAATACTCTCATCATTTCTTAGTGTTTCACTTGGACTTAAGTGATATTTCTATTTATGCTATAAATTTTCTTTCCCCTATGTAGTCACATTTATTTAGTCAGGTATCTTTAAAGAGCATTCCATTTCAGAGTCATTCTTGCACACTGAGCTTTACCCCACAATATTATACCATGTGCTAATAGGATTTTAAAATAGAATGAAGAGAGTTTGGAAGAGTTTATTTCCATTGATCTTGCAGAAAGGCTCCAACAGCCTGTGCCTAGACATATTTACTTGAAAGTAAATCTTATTGTGGACATTTTGCCTAAGTGTGGAAATGTGAAACAAATGAAAAGCACAAGCAGAACTACATTATTATACATGGATTTTCCTGCAGGTAAGGAGGCTTGCCTGAACTTGTGTAATATTGGAGTTGGCTGAGTCTGGGTCCTAATCTAAAAACCCCCTTTTATGTATGTATGTGTTTATTACAGTTCTATACAACCAATAGCCAAAGCTCTCTGGGTGGCTCCCTATCCCACCTGGATAGGATTGTAAGGAAGAATTAAAACTTGCTGGCTCCTTTGAAGCTGTTATTTGCACTGGGAGTAATCCCCCAATGGAGTCACTGGGGGATTTCTGCCCAATACAAATAGCAGCTTCATTGGAGCAATTTTAAGGAATTTGCAATGAAGTCAAAACATGAATTAAGCACCAGTAGTCTATTCATTATCTGTCTGTAAGTCTTCCCTAGCCATTGGATAGCTTGTTATAATGTCACAAAAGCATGTGAACATAGGAACCGGTACAAAGGGCTGAAATGAGGCAGGAAGTGCTTCTGAATAACTTAGATATGTGAACAAAAGGGCGCCTGGGGAACATCACATACAAGAAGGGATGAGAGAGGATAATGAAGAACTGGGCAAGAGATGTTAAAGAGGCCAGATATCACCCTGCCTATTAATACCAAGACACAATGTTCTGGAGGAAAAACCCTCACACAGGGCACAAGGATGATACTATAAGCTGATAGAAGGAGACAGGATGGATTTCTTAAAGTGATCTCTAACCCACTGACTGTGCATGGTTTGCTTTATTTCCTGGTATCTTTTGCTGTTACAGAAAGCATTGTTAATTAAAGTACTTAAGATACATATCCATATCCTGATGGGAAGATGTGTGATTAAATGAGGAAAGTTTAATTTACGAAAAATTAACTAATTTTTTGCAGAAGCTGAAACTTGTCCACTGTTGCCACTTAATGGAGTACTTCAAGATCATTTAAGTTGAATTTCAATAACTCTACAAACCTTTTTGTTGTTGTTGTTGTTGTTGTGAGCCACCCAGAGGCTTTGTTGCGATGGGGGCGGCATAGAAATGTTTTAAATAAATAAATAATAAATAAACCTAAATCATACATGCTTACCTGAAAATGTGCTGGTGAAACAGCAAGGGTTTTGTTAAAATCTAATATACATTTAGCTTGTTGGAGTTGCATTCTGCACAGCCCACGCTGGTAATATGCATCCGCATAACGTGGACATAGCCTGACTGCAGAAGTAAAAGCATCACAGGCCTAAAAAGATGAACCAGTAAGTTTTAATGAATACTGAATGGCTACAATATCAACATTTCCTGTAGTTTTTCATATTTCTTTACTTATTTTAGATTACCGCCAAGCATGACTATAAACATGGTGTATTAAAGGAACACAGACAGTGGGTGTGTTCACACATAACGCCAAGCCATGCTGGAAATTGCTTGCTGTTGTGAATTCAGGAAGCACAGTGAAGTCCAGTCCATTTGGTTACACAAGTCACCATGCACTGGGGAGAGCACTGGGAGGGAAGACAGGGAGTGCCTCCAGCAGCAGTGCCCATCAGGGCACTCATATGTGGTGCTCCTTCTGGTTGCTGCCCTGTGCTAGAGCAGTGCATGGACAGCACACTGGGCCTCACCAAGGCATGAGTATCCCAAGGAGCCCATGTTTCCCACCCTCTGCCTCATTCTCATCTCATCCCCAACAATGCAGGCGTCTCTCCACAAGCTCTGCCACTCTCCCATCAGAGCATATGCCAACACGGGCACTGATGCCTGCATTGCTGCCCTCCATGTGTCAGCTGTCAGGGTAGGCAGCCCTGGTGGCATGGGCAAATTGGGCACGTGGCACATGGCAGGGGAAGTGCTGGGCACATGTGCAGTGAGGAAGGAAAGGTATAGGTGGGTGTGCTTGACATGGACATGGACTGTAGCAGTGGCAGTGGGTGCTGCTCTGTTTCTCCTACAGAACCACAGTTCTACTCTAAGTGGCTCTGCAAAGTAGCAGAAAAAGGGAAAAAATGGCAGCTGGGTGAGGCCATGCCCAGAGGAGGCTGTGGGCCAGTGGAGGAGATACAGCCAGGGCAGGCAGGAGTGAGCACCCTGGGAACGATTCTCATGGATCAGGGCTGATGGAGCATGTGCTGCCATTTGGAGGCCTGTGGAAACTACTCGTGCGTAGTTACCACACAACTGTGTGAACTCAGGACAGAAGATGAAAAACAATGCTACATGGAAATTGTGTGGCTTCATTTTAAACTGTGTGTGAACATAGTCAATGTGAGATAAATTGTTCTACTCTTTAACAAAACCACAATACTAATGATAAGAAGGGAAAAGAAATGTTTTTACATTATCTGCATCTCTGCAAAGTGCAGAAAAAACAGGTAGTTTTTAATCACCTTTCCTTGGAGGAATCAGGGGTGGGGAAGAACATATCATTACATATCTGGGGTCAGTCTAAATTATCCTTGCAGAATTCCTTGTAATTTAGTGCCTCTGATTACAGAATAATTCAGAGTAGTACAGCAATGAAACCAACTTCTGAGGGAGGTTGTGGGCTCTCCCACACTGCAGGCATTCAAGATGCAACTGGACAGCCATCTGCCAGGGATGCTTTAATGTGAAGTTCTGCACTGAGCAGGAAAATTAATTCAATGGCCTTATAGGACCCTTCCAACTCTACTGTTCTATGCTTTTATGAAGTACCTTGAGTGCAGGTATAAACCTGAAGAGTGCTGCCCACTATCAGTCATATTTGCCATGATAAACAAACTGTCAATGATTCATTGAATGCATTATCTGGCCAGGGCAGCTTATTATCTGGCCAGGGCGGCTTATTTTATACTGTACTGTTGTATTTTAATTTTATATTTATATTTTAATTTATATTATAATTATTTTAATTTATTGATGTGAGCCGCCCCGAGGCTTCGGCGAATGGGGCGGCATAAAAATGTTTTAATAAATAAATAAATAATAAAAAAATATTCTTTTTGGCATTAGCTGAAGACTTTTTTATTTTCCCAATAGTTTAACACTAATGGTTAACATCCGACCATTTGATTTTATCATTAATGGTTGGATGCAGTGTGTTTTGTGTGTTTTGTTTTTTGTAAGCCATCCAGACTTTAGTATTTCATGGCATATAAAAACTTTAAACAAATAAGTAAATAAATAATTAGGAATGACTGGCATATGGAAATAGGCCATGAGAAGCTCTATTGATGGTAGAAACTTGTCTTTGGTCCAAGCAGCTACAGTACATACAGGTGGACTACATTCAACTGTGTATAGTGACTCCTTGCTTCTGGATGTCATGGGAATCACCACAGCTTATAGGCATGTTACAGCAATGGTGGTAAATGCTAATGCAATCAAATACCAGGGTTTTTTTAAACTTAGCTTTATGCCACAATAAAAATATTTCATACCTTCACATTGTTGAATATATTGTGTACATCAAGCGGTAGCAAAATCAATTACATCCATTTCAATTCCAGGTTGTAACGCAACGAAATGCGGAAAATCAACTGGGGCTGTACACTTTGAAAAGGCACTATATTCCTATCTTCACTCATGTCCTGTTTGCAGGTTCCTGTGAGTAGCTGTTTGATCACTATGTGAACAAAATGCTAGTCTAGATGGACTCATGCTATGATGCAACATGTATCTTTTTAAGTTCTTATGGAGATATAAAAAAACAGGTGACTTTCATTCACATGTGGTGGCATTGTGGTTTGATTAATGATTATTAGAAGATTTATAGTATAAGAGAAATTACAGGATGGGAGTAATAGCCACAGTAAGTACATTAATGGACTGTATTAAAGATCAGGTCACCAGAGATTTTGTTGTAATAATGAACTGCCACAAGGATTATGTTGGCATCAGGTGGATGAACAACTTGTATACCATCAATTGCACTATGGAGAAAGATAATCTGGACTAGCAAATCGATGAAAAACATAGCAAATTCTAACTGTTATGGTAGGATAAAGTGGACTCCTGCAACCTTTAGCAGTTTGAGGTAGTTTATTCATTACTGGAACTGGCACAGACCAGGCACTCTTCTGACTTTAAATTGGTTGAGCATGTGTTGAACTGAATGTATCTATTGCTATTTGAAAGCTATCATCTGTAGTGGACAGCTGCCCAGGATTAGCCACTCCCACAGCCAACTGGGCTAACAATTTCACCCAGTAGCACCCTGGTCCCAGAACCCTGGACCAGTCACTGGATTCAACACGCGGCAACCCAAGCATTGGGGAAAAATATGGATTTATTAAAAGGCTAAAAGATAGGGGTGGAGGCTACTAAAACAGCAAAAAGAGACACCAAGGAATAAAAAGAGGGAAGGGAAAGAGGAGGGGATTTAGAGTACAGCAAACAATACAAGCTTCCCAGCTCCCAGGTTTTGTTGGCCTCCTCTGACATAAAACAACAAAGTTCAACCTAGTCTTAGTAATACATGCAAATACTATACTAGCCATAGGCACAGGTAGCACAGCATTATTCAGCACAGAGTGGCAACAAGAGCAGAACCTCTCCTCAAAGAGGAACCCCAAGCCTCTTCAGCTCATAGATTTACTTCTCCCCCACCCAAACTGAGTCGGGTGATCCAAGGGGTGATGTTCCTTGATTCCTTCCAGGTGAAGACCATCTGCCTTTATTGTCACAATCTCCGGTCCTTGGGTGTAAATTTTCTTGTCCTTGGGCATGACTTGCAGTATCTCTCCCTCCAACATATCAAAATCCCAGCCAGCCCTCCCCATGACTTTATCTGCCAGTGTCCTAGTGAGCAAACACCTGGCAATTGTAACAACTTTCCCCTCTATCAGTTAACTCTTCCCTACCAGGAGGGATCCTAAGCCAGTTCATGTTATATCACCACCACCACCTTGCGTTTATATCCTGCTTTTCTTCTTCTAGTAAGGAAGCCAAGGTGGCTTACGAGGGTCTCCTCTCCTTTCTGTCTTCACAATATCAATCCTGTGAGGTAAGTTAGGCTTAGAGGTAGTGATTGGGCCATGGCTCAGTGGGACTAGAACCCAGATCTCCTGAGTTCCAAGTCCAGTTACAAAAAAAGAAGCAAATAAAAACTTTCATTCACAATGCTTAAAACAGACCAACCAACCAACACATACCTCTAATAAACAGATTTGCTCCATATAGCATTGACCCATAAAGAAATATATTTCTGCAGTCTCAAATGTACTAGGTGGCGCTCTCATAGTACTAGTCAGCAGTTTCAAGGCTTGCTTGAAGCTGGCCACAGCATCCTGTAATGAAAAGTAAATGTAAAACATTGTAAACTTCTGTTAGCAATCCTAGTCTTGATGATGATCCTACACTGTCTGCTTCGCACATAGGTTTATACACCAAACTGTGCTTCCTGCTATACTTAAATAGTCCATTAAATCCTTCCCACTCTTTCTGCCTTCCTCATACAATCATCCCTTTCTTTCACACACATTTCTTTAAATTGGAGGTGTCAGTTATTGGGTCTAGGGCCTTCTGAATGCAAACTATATGTTCTACCATTGAGCAATGATTCTTCCAGTATGTAAGAGTCTATCTTGCCTTAGCTACCAAACCCAACCTGATCGCCTGTAACCAAAGAAAAGCTCCTGAAAAAACTAAGTGTGCAGCTGAGCACAATGTTAACTACTTGGGTAAACTACAAGTTAATTTTAATGTATTTATTTAACATATTTATTGGTCATCATTCAAGGCAGGAACCTACCCAAGGCAGCATACCATAACACCCATCATAAAAACAGTATCTCCCGCTAAAATCAGCAACATGCATTCTAAAAAAAACCAAAAGAAATAACAGTATAAAAGTTACAACAAACCACTCAATGACAATTGTTTTAAAAGAAACCCTGGAAAGAGGGAGGTATGGGATAGAGTAAATGTGGTTCCACAGGGGAGGGTCAGTTATACCTGATTCAGGAACCACATATGCAGGTATCCCATTCTGTTCTGTCACCTTATCAGGATTTCCCCCTTTAAACTGTTTGAAATATCTGTTTTGCAAGGCTGTATACTGTCCCCCTGCCTATTTAACTTATATGCAGAGCATATCATGAGAAAGGCAGGGCTAGATGAATCGCAAGTTGGAATTAAGATTGCCGGGAGAAATATCAACAACCTCAGATATGCAGACAATACCACTCCAATGGCAGAAAGTGAAGAGGAACTAAAGAGCCTCTTGATGTGGGTGAAAGAGGAGAGTGCAAAAGTTGGCTTGAAACTCAACTTTAAGAAAACTAAGATCATGACATCTGGTACTATCACTTCCTGACAAATATATGGGGAAGAAATGGAGGTAGTGACAGATTTTATTTTCCTGGGCTTCAAGATCACTGCAGACGGGGACTGCAGCCAAGAAATTAAAAGACGCTTGCTCCTTGGGAGGAAAGCTATGGCAAATCTAGACAGCATACTAAAAAGCAGACATATCACCCTGCTGACAAAAGTGCGTATAATCAAGGCTATGGTTTTCCCAGTTGCAATGTATGGCTGTGAAAGCTGGACCATAAGGAAGGCTGAGCACCAAAGAATTGAGGCCTTTGAACTGTGGTGCTGGAGAAGACTCCTGTGAGTCCCTAGGACCACAAGGTGATCAAACCAATCAGTCCTAGAGGAGATCAACCCCGACTGCTCTTTAAAAGGCCAGATCCTGAAGATGAAACTCAAATACTTTGGCCACCTAATGAGAAGGAAGGACTCAATGGAGAAGAGCCTAATGCTGGGAACAATTGACGGCAAAAGCAGAAGGGAGCGGCAGAGAATAAGGTGGCTAGATGGAGTCACTGAAGCAGTTGGCGTGCGCTTAAGCGGAATCTGGAGGATGGTGGAGGACAGGAAGGCCTGCAGGAATGTTGTCCATGAGGTCGCGATGAGTCAGACACAACTTTGCAACTAACACAACACAACACAACATATGCTCTCCTTAACATAGAGGGCAACACCTCCTCCAGCACATCTTTCCCTGGCTTTCCTATACAGTGTATATCCAGAAATGACCACATCCCATTGCTCATCTCTGTTCCACCAGGTTTTCCTAATTCCCACTACATCTAGCTTCTTCTTTATCACCAGCTTTATTCCAGTTCTCCCATTTTTCCCTAAGGCTTCTAGCATCTGCATAGAAACACCTAAGCACAATGTTCCCCTTCCAGCCACATGCAACTATTGTTCTGGCACTTTGCCCTCTCCAACTGATTATCATGGTTTACCATAATCTTGTTATCTACTTCCTCCACTTCTACATTTGGGCCATCTAGAACTTCCTCCCCTTCATCCACTACAGATGATTTGACCCAAACCAGATGCTTCCCAGCTCCTGTTGGCTTTCCTCCAGGGTTCAATTTAAAAACTGCTTTGCCACCCTTTTTTGTTACATGCCAGCAGTCTGGTTCTACGGGTTCAAGTGGCGCCCGTCCCTACTCTACAGGTTTGTCTTGTCCCAAAATGTTACCCAGTGCCTAATAAATGTGAAGCCCTCCTCTCTACACCACTGTCTCATCTATACATTGAGAATACTCAGCTGCGCCTGTCTAGCTGTCCCTGTGCTTTCGGAGAAAGCCACCTTGAAGATCCTGGATTTCAACCTTCTATCAAGCAAAAGCAGGTTGCTTACCTATAACTGATGTTCTTCGAGTGGCCATCTGTGCAGTCACACATATGGGTACTGCGCCTGCACAGTGCCTGCAGCCAGAAGATTGTCAGCTAATGGTTTTTGGCAGGAAGCTCCACTCCCCCTCCCCCGCTGTGGCCTATAAAGAGTGGAGCATCCGCCATTTTGTTCAGTCTTTGCAACAGAACGTATGCCACTTTATGGAAAAAAAACTTTTTTTTTTTTTGAAGTCAGTACCATGAAAAAAAGGCATGGTCGGTACCAAAAGATGCATCCACTCACTGACACCGAGCGGGACCGGCGGGTGGGTTGTGTGACTGCACAGATGGCCACTCGAAGAACATCACTTACAGGTAAGCAACCTGCTTTTCTTTGTCGTGGCCTCTGTGCATCACACATATAGGTAGATTAACAAGCTTACCATAAAGGAGGAGGGAAGGTGTCCTCAGTGAAGAACGGAGAAGAGAACAGCTCTGCCGAAGGAGCAATCCCGTCGGGCTCGAACATCGAGACGGTAGTGCCTGGCGAAGATGCAAGGGTTCATCCAAGTAGCGGCTTGGCAGACGTCATCAATCGGGACCCCGGATGCAAATGTAGACGAGGTTGCAACAGCTCTAGCAGAATGGCCTCGAGGAACTGAAGGCAGTTCGAGCTTGGCTAATTGATAGCATAAAACTATAGTGTGGAATATCCACTTAGAAAGTCTCTGTGGAGTGACTGGATCGCCCTGATCCCTAGCAGAATATTTGATGAATAGTTTATTGGATCGTCGAATAGACTCCGTTCGCGATCGGTAGAAGGATAAGCAATGCCGAACATTGAGTGAATGCAAAGATCTTTCCAATGGAGTCGATGGTGACGGAAAAAAGACAGGCAGCACAATGTCTTGTCCCATATGGAAAGGTGTAGACACTTTAGGCAAGAAAGATAGGTTGAGGCGTAAAACGACATTCTCCCTGTGAAAGTTTAAATAAGGAGGGTCTATGCGAAGAGCACAAAGTTCACTGGCCCTCCGGGCTGAAGTGACAGCCACAAGAAACGCCATCTTCCAAGAGACCAATCACAGATCCACCGTCGCTAAAGGTTCAAAGGGGGCCTTCATAAGGGCCTGCAGAACTACAGAAAGGCTCCATGTGGGCATCACCAGTCTAATTGATGGGTTAAGATTATATAGTCCCTTCAAAAATCTTTTGAGGATAGGATGAGAAAACAGAGGTGATCCGTCGACTAAGCCACGGTAGTAGGCTATTGCGGCTGTATACACTTTAATGGACAACGGCTTCAATCCGGAATGGTGCAATTCCAAGAGGAACTGAAGAATTTGTTGTATGGATGAGAGGAATGGAGAGAACGAACGAGACTCGGCAAAGATGGAAAAATGCTTCCATTTAGCCTCATAGGACTTTTTTGTGGATGGCTTTAAGGCAGAGTCGATGATATGCTGAATATCAGGGTGCAAAAACGTCGGATTCGACGGGTCTTGTCTCGAACCGGATGGTGCAGAGAGACCAGAGAAAGGGGAAGCACCCGAGTGATTGGATTCGACAACTGGATCCGAGGTGGTGGAAGTCATCGCTGGTACCGATGGATTAGTAGAAGCTGTTGGATTCGTAACTCTCAAAATCGTCATCGGCACTGATAGAAGGTCAATCATCGAATTCGCCACGCTGTTAGATTCAATGAGAGCAAGTCCGGGTGGCGAAGTGTGCCGTCCACTTGTGTTATAAGATATGGGAGCGATGGTAGATGAAGAAATTCCCCGCAAGAGATGTCGAGTAGTTTCGCAAACCACGCTTGACGTGGCCACCAAGGGGCAACTAGTATCCCCAATGCCCGGTCGTGCACGATCTTTGCTATGACCTTCATCAGAAGAGGGATCAGAGGGAAGGCGCAGAAGTTCATATTGTTCCAAGGGATCATGAATGCATCCCCCAGGGATGTGTGTCCAATTCCCGCTCTCGAGCAGTAAGCCTCGCACACGCTGTTCTGTTGGGTGGCGAATAAGTCCACGTCGGGAAACCCCTAGCGCCGGAAAAGGTGGTTTCGTGCACGAGGATCCAATTCCCACTCGTGAGAGGTGAACATATGCCTGCTGAGAAGATCCGCCTGCACGTTGTCCACACCAGCTAGATGAACAGCCATCAGCGTGATGTGTCTCCGGATGCACCAGTCCCAAATTTTCATAAAAAGCCTGGCTAGGGTCGGTGACTTTGTTCCCCCTTGCTTGTTCGGATAAAAGACGGTAGCTATATTGTCCAAAGTTATCGGAACAATCTGATGATGAAGGATGTCCTCAAAAGAGCGCAGGGCCTTGAAAACTGCTAGTAGTTCTAGGAAGTTGATATGATTCGTGGATTCTTGACGATTCCACGTACCCTGGGTAGATAGGCCGGAGCATATCGCTCCCCATCCTAGGAGAGACGCGTTGGTGCCAAGGGTTATCGTAGGAGGTTGCGCCCTGAAGGGGACTCCTATCGTAAGATTAGTCAGTTCCAACCACCAAAGCAGAGAGTGAAGCATGGAAGATGGGATCCAAATCAGCCTCGACTGCAGATCTCTTTGAGGATGGTACACCTTGTTGAAAAAGAGTTGCAGTGGACGAAGCCAAAGCCTGGCATGTGGAACTACGGCAACTGAGGAAGCCATATGCCCCAGGATCCTCTGAATAGACTTCGCCGGGACCGTTCCATCTCGTCGGATCCGATAGATGTGGCGAGCAAGAGTCTGTTGTCTGTCCTGAGGGAGGAAGGCTTTTTCCAACGTCAAATCCAAGCGGGCTCCAATGAAGGTGAGCATCTGTGTCGGAAGAAGAGAAGATTTCTCAGTATCAATACGTAGGCCGAAGCTATTGAGCAAGGCACAAGTTGTATGGATGGCCGCAAGGAGTCCTTCTCTGGACTGCGACACTAACAGCCAGTTGTCGAGGTACGGGTAAATTTGTATGCCTTGGAGGCGTAGAAAAGCACAGACAGGAGCCATGCACTTGGTAAAAACCCGCGGAGCCGTAGCCAGTCCAAAAGGCAAAACTGTAAACTCATAAAGTTGGGTTGCAACCACAAAACGAAGGAAACACCTGTAACTTGGGTGAATTGAAATATGGAAGTAGGCGTCCTTCAAGTCCAATGAGGCGAACCAATCCTCTCTCCTTAGCAACGGCAAAATGTTTTGAAGAGTAGTCATACGAAACTTTTTCAGTACAATGAACTTATTCAAGTTCTGTAAGTCCAAATTCGGACGTAGACCACCATCCCGCTTTGGGACCGTAAAGTATCTGGAATAGAATCTGTGGAGTCCATCAGATGGGAATACTTAACGAATCGCTCCTTTACGAAGAAGTTGATGTATTTTGTCGAGCAGTACCGGTGAACATGAAGTGAACCGGATCAGACTCAGTGGAGGAACGATGTCAAATTCTATTCGATAGCCGTGATGAACGATGGACAATACCCACGGATCAGATGTGATGGACTCCCAAATGGGGAGTCGGCTTCGGAGCCGATCCCCAGATGAGAGGGGGTGGGTATTGGTGGAGTGTGAGGAATGGTTTGCCAGTCCCGTCAACGTTGCCTCCGATCGTCGAAACAGCGGCGGCCTCATTGGAAGCGTCGCTGGGGCTGCGGATGGCGGCGCTGCTGTTGCTGTTGCTGGCGGTGTTGTGGCTGTTGCCTTGGCTGATATGATTGCCTGTAGGATGGACGATTCCAGGACCACTTACGTCTGGCGTGGGACTGTATCTCCATCCTGCGTGCTGTCATCCTTGATTCATGCAGCTTCTTGAGCTTGTGGTCGGTGCGAGAATGGAAAAGCCCGGATCCATCGAAAGGCATTTCCTCTATCCGCCGCTTGGTTTCTTCCGGAAAATTGCAATTCCGAAGCCATGCATGCCTTCAGAGAGAAACGGCACCGACCAAGGCCCGTGAGTCAGTATCCATGTGGTGCCTTGCCCTGGATAACTGCTGCACTGCGACCTGCATGGCTTCCTTAATCAGGACCTTTGCGAGGTCACCCTGGTGGTCTGGGAGGGTCGAGGCGACGTTGTGCAGGTGCTGCATAATGAAGGATTGATAACCTCGCCAATGTTGCCTCGTAATTTGATATGCGGAGCCCCAGGCCTGAAGCAGTGTAGACTTGTCTAGCCAGGGAGTCTATTTTTCGGCCCTCCTTGTCCCTCGGTGCCGTGTGCCCTCTCACCTCTCTGCCCTGCGAGGATTCGACGACCGCAGAGCTCGGTTTGGGATGTCGGAGGAGGAAGGGGATGTCCTCCTCCCGAACCCTGTACATAGACTCATATCTCCTGGATGTTGGTTGAGGGTGTGATGGCAGGTCCCAGGGCTGCGTCATCGCCTGCCGCAAGGTGGTTATGAGTGGCAGGTTGATAGATGTCGACTGCTCCCTGCAGACGACATCGTAGAACTTGTCCGTCATTGGTCCCGGGCGCTGGGCGGCGTCGATGTCAAGGGACTGGACAAGTCTAGACATCAGCTCCGCAAAGGAGACGTGGGACTCATTAGGCGACGCAGGACCCTGGGATGTCACAGAGACATCCGGGGAGGTTGAGTCGGTCTCCGAGTCGGCCGAATTGGCACCGTAGTAGTGTGGGGCCGAAGATGACGACTCCGCTGGGGAGAAGGAGCAGCTGCTTCCATCCTGTGGGGATCGAGGTGACGCCCGCCTCGGGTCCAATGAGCGTGGTTGATCATGGGATGGAGGAGAGGATCGTGCCCTGGGAGCAGGGTAGTACCCTACGGAGAGCAGATCATCTCAAGTATGGTAGTAGGGGCGACGCCAGCTCTCCGGACGTTGCTCTACAGAGCGGCTCCTCCGGCTCCCCGGTGGGGACAGTCCAACGTCCGCTTCCATAGTGACCACGGGCATGGGTGTTGGTGACCTCACCCTAGGAGGGAAGTCTTGGATTTCCCCGTTGGATATTGAACCCCGTAGAGTTGGAAGGGATGCAGGCAGGAGGTCCACCACGCAGCAGGGAGACCCTTGAGGGGTAACCCGCATAGCCTCCTGGAGGACCGGTTCGGGCAGAGTCGGTACCGTAAGCACCACCAGTACCGAGGGGCCCATCGGTTCCAAGTCCCAATGTCGGGGACGGTCCGGACGGTCCGAATTCCTGGGTTTCTTGGGAGGCTTGGAGGCTTTCTCCTTCCTGGCCTTTTTATGGCCTGCCGACTTCTCGGATTCGGCATGCTTCCACTTCTCGTGCTTCTCTTTAGGTGAAGCAGAGGGAGCCACCGAAGCAGATGCACCTTCATCCGAAGGCCGTGAGGGTAGGGCCACAGAAGCGGAGCCAGGTTTTGGGACAGCAATAAGCGGGTCCGATTGCATTAGGGCCTGATCCCAAAGGAGTCTCCGGAGGCGATTTTCACGATTCTCCCTGCCTGCTTGGAGAAGGCCAGGCAATGCGCGCATTTATCCGTCCTATGCCCCTCGCCCAGGCAGAGGAGGCATAGGTCATGCAGGTCAGTTGGTGCCATTTTTGACCCGCAGTCCGCGCATTTGCGGAAAGCCACTCGCTGCACCATCGCAGAAGAAGGAGAAGAGATACAGTGCAGAGGATAAGTATATATTTTTCTTTTTGTTTTTTTTTTAGATAGATCGAAAGAAGAAATAACAAGAGAAAAAACTACGCGGAACAATGAACTGGGAGCAAGGAGAAGAAACTGGGAAAAAGAAGGACAATCGAGAGCAAGGTAACAGTCGAAGCGAAAGTCGAAAGCGGCACGAGGCACAGCAAATGGCAGTCGCAAAGACTGAAAAAAATGGTGGATGCTCCGCTCTTTATAGGCCACAGCGGGGAGGGGAGCGGAGCTTCCCACCAAAAACCATTAGCTGACAATCTTCCGGCCACAGGCACTGCGGAGGTGCAGTACCCATATGTGTGATGCACAGAGGCCACGACGAAGAACATAAATTTGGCTTCCAAAACCTCATGACTACATTTCCCCACGTCATTGGTACCATGATCACAGACTCCACCTCTGCATTTACTACAAGGTTATCTTGTGATATCCATAACCTGAATTGCCAGGCAGGCAATTCACCGAGCAGTCCTCATGTCTATCGCAAACCCAGCTTCCTATGTTCCTGATTACTGAATCTCCCACAACCAGACGTCCCCCAATCCCTGGAGGGGTATCCTATGCGTGAGAGGATACACGCTTGCCTTCTAAGGAAAAGTCCTTCTAAGGGATCATTTCCCTCTTCCTCAGAATGATGCCCTCCTTCTCCAAGACCCCCTTTCTCCATGACCACAGAGGAGCTGCTACCCAGGAGTCAGGACTCTGCTAGTTGGTCCCGGGGGTCAAACAAATGGGTGATCCTGTACTTCTTGAAACATGTTTCATCAGATATACAGGTGAAGAAGCAAAGATCTACTTATCTAAAAGGAAGACAGATTAGCTAGGGCAGCACTTCCTATTAATAAGCAAGAGAGAAAAACAAAAGCATTCAGGTGTTGGGTTCAGCTTCACCAACTTTTCCTCAGGGTTATAAGTTTCCTTCAGAATTCCACAATGTAAGAGTATTTCTTTAACCTTGTGCTTTTTGGCTTTCATTTGGATTTTTCCAAGCAGAACAAACATGGAAGAAGATTCAGGTTGCTTTTTGGTAACTGCAAGGGCACACTCAACAGCTTTCTTATGATTCTGGCAAAATGAGTGAACAAGTGCTTCTTGAACAAGAGAACACTCAAGGGGTCCTGTAAAATATTTAAAGATGAATACATTATGAGCCAAACTATTTATATTTGTGCATAGAAATACAAAAATAAAATGTTAAATAAATAGTTATAAGTATACAATTTTAAAATGATAGATGTCAACAAGACTTATTTAAGTCCTTTTTCTCGTAGTCTTTTAGACTGTAACAAAGCCTTATAAAAAGTCAGACCACTGGTCCATAAAGCTCAGTTTTGACTGGCAGTGACTCTCCACGATTGCTGAGAAGTGTCTTTTTCAGCCCTATCTGTTATCAGGGACTGAACATGGGCAATTTTACATACAATAGATGTACTGATGGGCTATAGCCCTTCTTCAGCCTTAGAGAAGCTTCAAAGAGCCAGTGGAAGATTATAGGCCCAAACTAAATACAGGCAAACCTCAAAAAAATCTTTTCTAATCCAAGTCCAGTTCAAAGATAAAACACCATAAGATGTCTTGAAGATCTCCTTCAATAGTTAGTGAATGTGCAGCAGACTGAGGAGGGAGAGAAGTCATCTGGTCAAAAGTGTTTCCACTTTTATTGTATTTCTATTAAAACCGCAGCAATTATTTCTTAACATGTATTTATCTATATAAATTAGCAATGCAATTTTTATGCACATCTGTTTTCTTTTTCCTTTTTTATTAAATGGACCACCAACTTCTAAAAATACCTTAATAGGTAAGATTTATCTGAGGAGCATGAACTTTCTAAAACTGAACAGTAATTGGAACAGTAGCATTGTCTGTCTCTTTTTATATTTACTGAATGATATAAAACATTATTATAGTTTTTCTCCCTGCACTTGTAGTATCTCATAGTGATTTAACTATTTAAATGTTTTTTAAAGTCTGTGGCTGCAATCCTGTATGCACTTACCTGGAAGTATGTCCCACTGAATACAGTGCAGCTTACTTTTGAGTGGACACGCCTAAATTTCCATGACAACAAGCTGATATACCATTCAGTTGGGAGTAAGACCCACTGTTTTATTATAATGAATAGTAACTTTGTATGCAAAGTAGCAATAGACACATGGCCCAAGACCCCACCATGTGTTTAGTACTGCCAATCTTGTGACATACATATTAAAAGTAAATTCTACTGAATAGTAACTTTAATAGTAACTTTGTAGCTTTAATCTATGATCATAGGCCTGGATCCAAAGAAATCACTAGTTTTGCATGCTAAAGGATACTTTGGATTTGTTTTTCTTAAGCAACAGTTGATTGCAGAGGGTTCCAATCACATCTGAACTTCCAAATGAAAATAGTGATTAAGTAAGCTGTTCAAAGACAAATGTTGAACATACTGTAGGGCAGCCTCATGTAGCTCTTTGGACCTTGGTCATATTTTCACAGGGCATTGAGAGAGAGAGAGAGAGAGAGAGAGAGAGAGAAAGAGAGAGAGAGAGAGAGAGAGAGAGAGAGAGAGAGAGAGAGAGAGAGAGAGAGAGAGAGACACACACTGTACCTTCTTCCATTTCTGCCACTTGGTATATGCAGAAACTAGCAAGTTCATAATTCTTCATTTCCAGTAAATATTGTCCCCTGTAATAAAGTATTTTGTATTTTTAACAAAAAATACTTCCTTGCAAATTCAATGAAGCTAGTTAAATACTTTAAATGATCAAACCTTAATAACAGACATTAACAGAAGACTTCTAAGTGTGGGAAGAGAGCAATATGGCAGATAGTCCAGCAGTTCCAAGCATCACTGGATCATGCCAACCAGCCTGGACAGCAGAGAAATCCTACCTTTTTTTCTTCTCTGAAGGTTCTTTTTTCTCTTTGTATTAGTTCCTGGTTGGTTTCAGCAGGATGGAAAATACCAATACTAGTTCAAGTCCAGTGTATATATCCTTGAGTATCTCAAAAGAATGAAATAACTGGAATCAAAGCTATCTCTTCCCCATCCCAGAATACTCTGTTTTAGGACCTGCTACTGACAAAAGCAGTAGATTTACTCCCATAAAACTTTCTGTGAGCATACCAAGGCTGCCAGGGGAGATGTGACCCCTTGATCACAGAACTCTTTTCTGCTGATAGAAAGACATTCCCAGTTCATTGGATTTCTCTCCAAACAGTGGATGTGGGGGTTAAGATTGCTGTTTAAATAATTATGCCAGTATACATGCTGAAAAATCTCTCCATAAAACTGAAGTTAATACTTGAACATTCACAACTCTGAAGGGTTCCTGTTATAAGCAGCTCTCATGCCCCCTTTCCTGCTCCAGCATACTCAGATTAAAGTTTAGAAGAAGAGTTCCTTTATTAAAACTAAACTGCTTACAAAACAGTATAAATCAAATACTTTTCTTCTTGAGAGGTAGGCAAAACATCTGCCTGTGAAAAGGATTAAATTCAAACTGAAATTTCTCCTTCTTCCATCTCTTTCAGCAACGCTTCTGGCCCCATGCACAGGGTGGCTCTTGCTGCTTGAAGCCTGGATGGTGGGAAAGCCAGACACATCACAACTGATCCCTCACTTAGCCTGTCATCTCCTGACTGGGTGAAAGAACTCCTTCTCCACTGCCTTGCCCCAAGCCCACAAATGTCTCCTTTTCCAAGGCAGGCTGGTTCTCATGCTCTGCGTTAGATTCTTCACTAGGTAACCTTGAAACTGCAAGTCATCTGCCTACCTTTGCCTTTCTGCCTCTTCCTCAGAATTGAATGAATCTATCTCAGAAGACTGAGGTGGAAAAGCTGGGCTCCTCTCTACAGTTACTGACAAAGGCTCTGTGCAGGCACAGAATCGATAAATGATATATAGAATCTAAAAAGAATAGCATTATTTCTATGGCACTTGAGAACCGAGCACATAACTGAAAGGAAAACTAATTCTCTTTGGAGGTCCACAGTCTTTTAGCCTAGCCAGATTGTTGGTAAAAAATATGTAGAAAAAAGCAGGTTGCTTACCTGTAACTGATGTTCTTCGAGTGGCCATCTGTGCAGTCACACATATGGGTACTGCGCCTGCGCAGTGCCTGTGGCCGGAAGATCGATAGCTAACGGTTTTTGGCGGGAAGCTCCGCTCCCCTCCTCATTGTGGCCTATAAAGAGCAGAGCGTCCACCATTTTGTTCAGTCTTTGCGACCGAACGTACGATATCTTAATAATTTTATTTTATTTTTTGTATTTTTTGTCGGTACCGTAAAAAACGGGGGATGGTTGGTACCGAAGATGCCTTTCTCATCAACACCGAGCTGTCGATGCGTCCACTCACCAACACCGAGCGGGGCTGGTGGGTGGGTTGTGTGACTGCACAGATGGCCACTTGAAGAACATCAGTTACAGGTAAGCAACTTGCTTTTCTTCGTTGTGGCCTCTGTGCATCACACATATGGGTAAATTAACAAGCTTACCATCAAGGAGGAGGGAAGGTGTCCTCAGTGAAGAACAGAGGAGAGTACAGCTCTACTGAAGCAGTCCCGTCGAGCTCGAACATCAAGACGGTAGTGCCTGGCGAAGGTGCAAGGGTTCACCCAAGTAGTGGCTCGGCAGACGTCATTGATCGGGACCCCCGTTGTGAATGCAGACGAGGTTGCAACAGCTCTAGTAGAATGGCCGCAGGGAATTGAAGGCAGTTCGAGCTTAGCTAACTGACAGCACAAGACAATAGTGTGGACTATCCACTTAGAAAGTCTTTGTGGAGTGACTGGATCGCCCTGATCCCTAGTAGAATATTTGATGAATAGCCTATTGGATCGTCAAATAGACTCCATCCGCGATCTGTAGAAGGCTAAGCGACGGCGAACATCAAGTGAGTGCAACGATCTTTCCAAAAGGGTTGACGGTGACGGGATAAAAGGCAGGCAGCAAAATGTCTTGTCCTGTATGGAAAGGTGTAGACACTTTGGGTAAAAAAGATGGGTCGAGGCGTAAAACGACCTTCTCTCTGTGAAAGTTTAGATAAGGAGGGTCTATGCGAAGAGCGCAAAGTTCACTGGCTCTCCGGGCTGAAGTAACAGCTACAAGAAACGCCGTCTTCCAAGAAACCAATTGCAGATCCACCGTTGCTAAAGGTTCAAAGGGGGCCTTCATAAGGGCCTGCAGAACTACAGAAAGGCTCCATGTGGGCATAACTGGTTTAATTGATGGGTTAAGATTATACAGTCCCCTCAAGAATTTCTTGAGGATAGGATGAGAAAATAGAGGTGATCCGTCGATTAATCCATGGTGGTAGGCTATTGCGGCTGTATAAATTTTAATGGACGACAGCTTCAATCCGGAATGGTGCAATTCCAGAAGGAACTGAAGGATTTGTTCAATAGATGAGAGGAATGGGGAGAACGAACACGACTCGGCAAAGGTGGAAAAACGTTTCCATTTAGCCTTATATGACTTCCTTGTGGACGGCTTTAAGGCAGAGTCGATGATATGCTGAATATCAGGGTGCAAAAACGTCAGATTCGAATTCGACGGGTCTTGTCCCAAACTGGATGGTGCAGAGAGATCAGAGAAAGGGGAAGCACCTGAGTGATTAGATTCGACAATTGGATCCAAGGTGGTCGAAGTCATCGTCGGTACCGATAGATTAACAGAAGCTGTTGGATTCGTAACTCTCGAAACCGTCATTGGTATCAATGGAACGTCAATCATCAAATTCGCCACGCTGTTAGGTTCAATGAGAGCAAGTCCGGGTGGCAAAGTGTGCCGTCCACCTGCGTTATAAGATATGGGAGCGGTGGAAGATGAAGAAATTCCCCGTGAGAGATGTCGAGTAGTTTCGCAAACCACGCTTGATGTGGCCACCAAGGGGCAACTAGTATCCCCAATGCCCGGTCGTGCACGATCTTTGCTATGACCTTCATCAGAAGAGGGATCGGAGGGAAGGCATAGAAATGCATGTTGTTCCAAGGGATCATGAATGCGTCCCCTAGGGACGCGTGTCCGATTCCCGCTCTCGAGCAGTAAGCCTCGCACACCCTGTTCCGTTGGGTAGCAAATAAGTCCACATTGGGGAACCCCCAGCGCCTGAAAAGGTGGTTGCGAATACAAGGGTCCAGTTTCCACTCGTGAGAGGTGAACATGAGCCTGCTGAGAAGGTCCGCGTGCACGTTGTCTATGCCAGCCACATGAACAGCCATCAGCGCGATGTGTCTCTGAATGCACCAGTCCCAAATTTCCATCGAGAGTCTGGCTAGAGTTGGTGACTTCGTCCCTCTTTGTTTGTTAAGATAAAAAACGGCCGCTATATTGTCCGAGGTTATCTGAACGATCTGATGATGAAGGAGGTCCTCAAAAGAACGGAGGGCCTTGAAGACTGCCAGTAGCTCCAGGAAGTTGATATGATTCGTGGATTCTAGACGATTCTACGTACCCAGGGTAGATAGGCCAGAGCATATCGCTCCCCATCCTAGGAGAGACGCGTCGGTGATGAGGGTTATTGTAGGAGATCGCGCCCTGAAGGGGACTCCTAGCGTAAGATTAGTCGGTTTCAGCCACCAGCGCAGAGAGTGGAGCACGGAAGATGGGATCCGAATCAGTTTGGACTGTGGCTCTCTTTGAGGGTGAAACACCCCGTTGAAAAATAGTTGTAGCGGGCGAAGCCGAAGTCTGGCATGTGGAACCACGGCAACTGAGGACACCATATGTCCCAGGACCCTCTGGATAGACCTCGCCGTGACCGTTCCCTCTCGTCGGATTCGATGTATAAGGCGAGCAAGAGTCTGTTGTCTGTCTTGCGGGAGAAAAGCTTTCTCCAACGTCCAATCCAAGCAGGCTCCGATGAAGGTGAGCGTCTGTGTCGGGAGAAGAGAAGATTTCTCTGTATTAATACGTAAGCCTAGGTCATCTAGTAAGGCACAGGTCTTATGGATGGCCGCCAAAAGTCCTTCTCTGGACTGTGACACCAACAGCCAGTCATCGAGGTACGGATAAATTTTTTATGCCCTGAAGGCGTAGGAAGGCACAGACAGGAGCCATGCACTTGGTAAAAACTCTCGGAGCCGTAGTCAGTCCAAAAGGCAAAAACTGTAAACTCATAAAGTTGGCTTGCAATCGCAAAACGAAGGAAACGCCTGTAATTTGGGTGAATTGAAATGTGGAAGTAGGCGTCCTTCAAGTCCAGTGAGGCAAACCAATCCTCTCTCCTTAACAACGGCAAAATATTTTGAAGGGTAGTCATACGAAACTTTCTCGGTACAATAAACGTATTTAAGTTCCGTAGATCCAAAATCGGACGTAGACCACCATCCCGCTTAGGGACCGTGAAGTATCTGGAATAGAATCCGTGAAGTCCGTCAGATGGCAATACTTGACGAATCGCTCCTTTACGGAGAAGTTGATGTATTTCGTCGAGGAGTACCGGTGAGCATACAGTAGACCAGATCAGACTCGATGGAGGAACGATGTCGAATTCTATTCGATAGCCGTGTTGAACAATGTATAATACCCACCGGTCAGATGTGATGGACTCCCAAATGGGGAGTCGGCTTCGGAGCCAATCCCCAAATGAGAGGGGGGTGGGTATTCAAGGAATGTGAAGAATGGTTCGCCAGTCCCATCAGCGTTGCCTCCGATCATCAAA